GGTTTACGATATGTAGGCAACGGTCGCCCCTCGCTTTACACATGGTCGTTTAGTTCGGTCCTGCAGAAACGAAGCGAGACGCAGTTTTCGCAACATGTGGTCCAGGCGCCTGTTTTTAAGATCTCGTGATTAGCAACCCGTGGCAGTAACAGCACGAGTAGCACGAGTGAACGAACCGCAATACAAATTGTCTTTTTGCACCGACGCGTGGCCAGAGGCTGCGCAGGAAAACATTGATAGTACGACGGCGGTTTGCCGTCAGTTTTGGAAGCTATGGTTCTACGTTGCCTGGGAGGCAACTACACCAACGGTAACATGGGGTCTGTCACGATCCTCATTATTGTCGTGGCTGGAAAAGTAGGAATATTTTCCGTATTGGGACCACGCCGACCGTAGCAGAAACTTGTAACAAGAATGGGCCTCCGGATAATAACTCCAACCCGGTGGTTCCCGTAACAGCGTGGGGGCAGCCGCTCGTAACAGGATTGTCGGGTCACTTTGAACCTATGCAACGACAGCAAAATCAAACGCTACTACGACTGCCAGCCTGCCTTCCTGTCTGCCAGCGTGCGCCTGCATGTGAGAAATTCGCATAACATTGGCTGTATCCATTATGGTTATCAGCAAACCCATGTGTGCACGTGTCCCACTGCCTCGATATCTTTACCTGTTCCTATCTACTTCAGGCTTGCCTGCGGGGGAGCGGTTTTCGATCTGTATTTTGCGAGCATAAAAGCTTCAAGGCCCGCGCCTTGCTTGTTTCTGATGGTAGTTCCAGTTCCGGTGGTCGTTCATGTTACGCTGGTCGCCTGGTTGCCGCTACGGCGGCCACACGTTTCCGTTACAGTGTGCGAGATCGGTTTCCGTTGCTCTGAAAGTGGGCCCAGCTACTCCCCGCACACGGAAAAGTAGTGTGCTTAATAGTGAACATAGCCCCGACAATGCCTGACAATAATGGTCTTGATATTGATAAATAGTTTCACTGGATAGCAAGAGCAATAGACTCTGATATTGTGGCGTCCCCGGACCGTGGAAAGGAAGCACAGCACCAACAGTTCCGACAACAAAAGCATCGGCGATGCAAAGCATGGAGCTAGGCTGAGCTATTGTTCAGTGCTCCCTGTGGTGTGGAACTGATTGTCAGCTTCTAATACCGACCAGTCAAGGCACTTCGAACCCGAGACCTCGTTTGGCAAGTCCGAGTTGCGAGAGCGTAAAGATGAGAAACGTTCTACTGGCTTCCTTGTGGTCTTATCTACGTGATAGCACTGTCTGACAACAACGTCGCAATCGACAGCAAGCATGGCACGTGTTTGGATGAGATGCTGCAGCTACACGAGTCGCATCGTGGGTATGACCTTAAGCGTCTCTAGCGGCAGTGGTGTCATCGTACCAGGGCTCTGAACGGCAGTATTCAGAGCATCTAAAGCACTTGCAAAACCAAGCGTACATATCCTACAGAAACACTGTCACATTGATATTTATTGTGTCAGGGTTGCAAGTACGTGCTAACAGGCTTTGGTCTCAGTAGCATGACGAGGAACATTCGTAATACGAGTGATGCCGGTAGCCTGCGTACTACATACTAGTGGCAATATTGCTGGCAAGTTGAGTAATTAGTTGTAGTCGGTTCTACTAAACTGGAACATCACCAGCGCAAAGGGATAGACTCCTGTAGCAAGAACAAGGAATAGAATTGAGGAGTCTGCAAGAAGAGGGAAGCGGGTGGATTCACAGTAGATGACGTGGTCCTGCCGATCCTCAGTCACTTCAGGCTTCTTGTCCTCTGTCGCCAGATACTGTAGGGGCTTGGCGCGCGCTCCGCTGTTTAAGAGAGGGCTTTTGCTTGCATCTTATGTTGAACTGCTTTATCACGACGAACTCATGCGTTGGCCAACTATGGCAGCATGTTGTAGTCTTAGAGTGCGTTTTGATGCTGCAGTGCAGGTCAGACTCCGACGAGGGAGATGGAGATGGACCAGTGGATTCTGCTGCTTCCGGTCGTGCAATGTTCCACTCCAAGTTCAGGGCGATGCTGTCGTGTCCAGATGGGAGCTTGGACTTGTGTCGGCTTGTTGTGAGGCGCTCCTACAACTACCGTGTTGTCATGGTTTGTGGTGACGCAGAGATGGACATGCGTCCTGCTCTCAGAGTGCACAGCATGTCCGCCAGCTGTGCCCTGTCGGCCTTCCACGCAGCGCCCGCTCACACGACCTCACGTGTCGTCAAGTCCCCAACCCCTCGGCTCGATGTAGCTGAGCCACTCTTCTTCCTGATTACCCAAGAAGCAGTTCCTTGTTGTAGTTGTGGTACAAATCAACTGTACAGGTCTCTACAATATCCCGTTTGGGGGCCCACAGTCTCTGCGTTACGGTTTAGGCCGCCGAAGCCTTGCAGTTTAACGTTCATTATTTGTTGGGTTGTGGCTTCATGAACGCTAGTATCATGACACTGGAGACCCCTGAGTTGTAGAGTGGTTTCGAGTTGCTTGCCATCAGAGATACCTCTCTACCACTGAGCTTCGATGCATTATGTTAGTCATTTTGTCTAGCTTGACGTGGTTGGTCGAAGAATGAGCTGCAGGCGGGCGCTGCAGTGCCGGACAGAGGGTGCTTTGCTCCCTCATCATCCGTCTGGCTTTGGCGGATTCCTTCTGCGTGAACTGTGGCTGCCTTAAATGGCGACCATCTGTAGACAGGGGCTCGTGGTTTGTCTGCTTTGCTGTGCGAGTGATTGAGCAGGGGCAGCCTTCAACAGTGATATCGCAACAAGTCCTACACAGTCCAGTTCTGCTGTTGAAAACTTGCTGCGCACGAGATGCCTTTTTGAGAGGTGGGGTTCTCGCCCTTGATGAGCCGACGACGAATCTGGATGCAGCCAACATCAGAGGGTTGGCCGAGGCACGGGATCACCTACCGCTGCTGATCTGATTGGTGGGACTAGCTGGTCGTTGAATTTGAAGCTTCTTGCAGACAAATTCTCTGGGAGTTGGCCAGGCCTTGGCCAATCTCATAGAAGCCAGAAGGGCCCAATCACGATTCCAGCTGGTATTGATCACCCACGACGAGGCCTGGAAGTTCGTAGGTTTTTGCAGTGCGCCGTGGAGGTGAAGGCACACAGCCACTGGAACAAGAAATTCATATGTCCTTGCATAGCCTTGTTGTGCGGTAGAGCTCTGCGACAGCCAAGGCTTTTGTCAACCGTCTCGCGCAGCTACAGGTGTGCGACTGGTTTTACCGCATTCACAAGGACGATGCTTGGAAGCAGTTTTGATACCAACGTGTTGGTGACTATGCCTGGCAAAATCCCGGGTGTTGAAGTGCTCTTCAGCATTGTTGTGCGAACTTCGAGCTTCGCAAGTGGCCTCCATGCATTCAAGGAGTCTGGATGTTCAAAGATTGAGAAGCAGCGAATACAGCTATTTGGCGACTAGAGTCTAGAGTCTTTCGGCGTCTGTCAAGATAATCAGCAGTTTAGGTCTGGAAGCATTTACTCGTAGGTGCAGTGCAGGGACAGTACAGAGTCCTGGCGCAATTCACTGCATGGGGCAGTGGTCTGCTTAGGTTAGGCTTAGTAGCGAGCAGCTGTCTCGATGAGCTTCCCAAGTCGGCATCCGCAGGATTGCCACAAGTTGGTTGACTGTCTGCAGCGCGCAGAAAATGCCACCACTACTTTCCGAGGGGCAAGGGGCAGTCCGTGGAGAAACCAAGCAAACCGCTGCCACGGTGTTCAGGTATCTCACAAGATCGGGTATGGCCTGGAGCTTGGCCCACCAAAAGCCTCTGCGGTGCTGCAGAGTTCTGGAGTTGTTGAGGCCTCTGAAGCAGCCATGGCATTGAACTACAGCGTGTTTAACTGGGCAGTGGGATTCCCAGATACTCGAGCTCTGCTTGGCTTTCTGCTCTTTGCGCAAGCAGAGCTCGGAGCATTCTGAAGAGATGCATTGTGAGTGCAGGAAATGTTAAAAATGTCAGAGCACCTTAAAATTTGTATCGGCTGGAATCTTGCTTTTTGTTTTAAAATCCTGGGAGGTTGGGTTCTTGTTTAGCAGTTCCTCCCCGCGGGGAGCATTCACTTTTTTCAAGGGGAGCGTTCACAAAAAAGTTGCCGTGGACCGGAAAGCCTTTTAGCGAAGGGGACGTGTCCATGGCATCGTGTCGACGGGCTGGGGTCCAGTGCCGGCGGGGACAGGTGGGGAGCTCTAGGTGCCGACCGTCCACGGGAGAATGCGGCTAGGTGGGAGCTCTGGGTGCCGAGCGTTTGCTGGAGGACGCGCCGTGTGGGTGCTGAGCGTTCACGGGAGGACGCGGCCGTGGACGAGAAAAGTCCGAAATTCTGGATCATTGCTGTCCCTCATTTTGGTTTGGGCATGGGCTTGGATTGTATGTGTGCCTCCCTCATGCCTAAAGAACGGTTTGATGGTTTGGTTTTTGGGTTCCCGGCTTAACCTTGTTTCCTTGAAGTGCGGCTGTGCCTTGTGCGTGATGTCTAAAAATCGAACTTGAAGACGCGGAAACCCCAACTCGAAGTTTCTCGAGCTTCGGGGCCGGTGACACTTATGGCTTGGCCACGGCCACCAGGGCTTTACCGAGGGCTTTGCCGGCAGAAACCGAGCTCCTTTGCGCGAATTTGGCCATGGGGCCGCTGCGAGGCCGTGCACGGCCCGGGGGAATTCCATGGGCTTGGAACTTACGGCGGCGCTGTCCTCTCGTCTCTGTCGAGAGGACACAGCAAGCACGCGCTGAGGCCGCACACTCATGTGGGCGAGTACCACGTGGGGGTCTTTTATGCGCAGGTTGGCTGCTTGCGTAGCAACCAGCGTGCAACACAGAGAAGTGATTGAGATACAGGGTTGGTGCACTGCATGCATACGATTTTCTTTTCGAAACTTGCAGCAAATCTCAATTTAGAAGTATTTTCAGCTAGCACAGCTCAGCATCTGCAAACATGAAAAGCCACAAAGCCGCCAAGCCGCAAAGGCGCAAAGGCGCGAAGGCGCCATGGCCATGGCTGGCGGAGCTTCGGCCGAAGCTTTGAGGAAGCGAGCGCTGGCCGAGGCTCCGAGTCTATCTCCCAAAGTGGAAGCTGTGAAGGAGCTCCATGGATTAGGCGTCCTCTCGCCGCCCGATGTTTGCGTTTCTTACATTCTCCTCACACTCAGTTTGCGGCATGGAGATCGTCTGCTCGCTGGCTGGCGACGCCCACAGAAAGAGTCGCAAGATGTCCCACAGCAGCCTCCCCACTTCTCAGCGAGACTTTGCGATGAGCGCGTGCATGGACTTCTCGGGCAAGATGTCCTGAGTGAGCGGTGTTTGGACAAATTGGGCTTGACCAGAGACACGGCGACGCTGAAAGACTTTGCCTGCAAGGCCCGCTTTCACAGAATCCCGGATTACGTCTCAATATGCCTGGAAGAGTTCTACGCGGGTCGCCGGCCTTTGTGTTTGATCTACAGAATTCCTGAGCCTCAGGAGTTGCTGGCGATGCAGGCAGATGGTGCTCGCTGTGTCAGTGCACTCACATCGAGGAGGCTGCTGTCCCAGATTTATGGCCATCGGGACTGTTTAGACATGTTGCTGCACGATTTCGCTCACATGGAAAAATTTGTGGAAGCTGGCCGTTTTTGGCAGCAAGTGGGCTTCTTCGAGTTTTTGCACGGCACCGCAAGGGAAAGGCACATGCAACACTGGCAGTCCTTTGGGAGGCGATGGGAGCTGTCGTGGTTTTATGTATCCTCGGACATGAATGCAGTGGCCAACCACATGTTTCTGACCCTTAAAGCACAGCTAATGGTGGCAATGGCTCGCAGCATGCTGATGCAAGCTGGCCGACTGGATCAAGCTATCGATGACGCAGAGCAGGCAGAACTTGAGGCTGCCAAATCTGATGTGTACCCGAGGGCAAGCATGTCCCGATGGAAGCCGTTGCTGGAAGATGCTGGGCTCCTGTCCCGGTTTGAGGACTGGTTTGACTTTGGTTTCAAATTCAGACTTTGGTAAATGCATGTTTTCCGTTTGCACAGAGAAGAGCCTCTGACTCTCCGCCAGGAGCTTTTTGTCGAGGAATGGCGCCATGTGCTTTCCCTGCATTCAGCCCGAGCTGAAGAGAAGTTTCCGGGCATCTTTGAACCCCGCGAAGGACACGAGCAGAAGCGTGCATATTAGCCCTTACTAGCCCTTGCGTCTTACGCTGTTGAGTTCTTCTGGCTTTGAACGATTGTCTTTCTGACAAACGGATCGATTGTTGCTGGCTCACCGGCGTTCTTTGAAGTTAGCAGTTTCTACATGTTGATGCTTCTCCTGGCGGATGTGTTGTCCATGACTTAGCCAGGCGGAGCCTTTGCAGTGATGCACATACGTGCTCGAAGCCTCCAGGTCCGCCCAATCGCTGTGCTCGTTGGAGTGGCGATGATCATGCACTCGGCTTTTGTATGTCCAAGTACAAGTATAAGTTTGATGGCCTCGACATTACACAGCCATGGAAGATTCTCAAAGGCTTGGATTCAAAACCTCGATTCATTTCCGGGCGACCGTTTGAACATGCCAGTCGGGGTGTTCAAAGGTTGTCAGTCGTTTTTGAAGGTTTGTGATGGTGCGTGGACGGAGGTTCAGCGTTGGCGCCAGGCCTCCTGATATTCCAGTCTGCGTTTTCGTGCCCTTGCCTTGCGAGACTCTTGATGATGGCACGAGAGAAAGAGGGAGAGGTTTCTCACCCCTCGTTAGCCGTTCCAAATGTGAACGGGTGGGCTTTGAAGCCCGGGGGCGCTGACCCGCCTCCATGCCCGGGAGAGAGAGAGGCGTAGGCGAGAGGCTGGCACTCATTTGACACGTTTTTTCACGCCCTACCGAAAGCCCTGTAACATACGGGGGGCCCATGAGGCCGGGGGGCTTAACTCGCCCCTTATGCCCTGCAGAAGAAGACTGGCACTCGGAGGAACACTTCTGTCATCCCCGAATAGGGCTAGGGGGGTAGGCCTACGGGCCAAGGGTCCCTTGGGGCCCTCAACCCCTTCGCAAGCAAGCAAGCAAGAGAGAGAGAGAGAGAGAGAGAGAGGGCAGGCGGTAGCCATTTTGGCGCTCAAGGTGCCTACACCTTCGACTCCAGCACCCAGTTCGTCTTGTGTCTCAAGCGGGTGGACGGGGCAGAAACGCTCCGACTGTGCCCAGGAGTGTGGAAAAGTACCTAGTCCTCGTCCAAAAAGGGTGAGCCATTGCCAGACAAGCTCATCTCAAAATTCGTGACACTACATCCACTGACTGAAAGGGGGAGTGCAAGAACCTCAACTCGGACCCTGTCGTGACCTTCGGGGGATGGCCATGAAAGAGCAGAGCGATATATGCCCGTAACTGCTGTGAAGGTGGGGGGCCGGGGGGGGCGGGGGGGGGGAGGCTGTCAACTTGGCTTCCAAAAAATCAAGGAGATGATGACGACTCCTACAAGTACAGTGGGGGATGACCCAAAGCGGGGGAAAGTGTGAGATGGAGATGGATACTGAGTGAGAGGGCCAGGCAAAAAGGCGCTTGCTTCGTGACAGTTCGTTAGTCTTTTACTTTTCCTCGGGGTGGGAACGCTTTGAACAGGGGGACAACTCCTTTCGATCCTTCTCGGACAAACTCATTCAACCAGAGGCCCAACCTGGCCTGCAATCATCGTTTCTTCTCAACACACCATCTTGAGGCAGCTGTTGATACGTGAATTCGGGGCAAATAGAAGGCTTTAATTCAACTTTCAATCCGTCCTTGAGAACTCTAGTGTTACCTGCTTACAAACGGCGGGGTGACGATGCAGGCCTTTCCTTCTTACCCAGCGCAGGCCTGCAGTGAGTAACGGGGATGGTTGCTGTTGCTTGCTTGATGAGCGTGTTGCAGTTTTCAATGCCGTTGATTGCTTGCTTGTGTGCTGAGTGTCAAAGGAAACGAGCAGGCGTTCTTGTTTTCATGCTTCGGCGAACCTGGTACTGCCGAGCGACTGGGGGCGAAGCCCCCCGTGGAAGAAAACACCTGCCAGGAACCGCAGGTGCGTGCTCGCTCTCGGGGTGCAGGGCTGGACGCTCCCTGTGCCTCACCTTGGCTTTTGAGCCAGGGTTCCCTTGGGGACCCATACTCCTCAGCAAGCACGCAAGCAAGAGAGAGAGCGAGAGATGGTTGCCCTTTGTTTCCCGCCCTTGGGGGACCCACTACCACAGCAGCAGACAAACCACCAGACCGCCTGAAGCAGAGTAGGTGTACCATAGCGGCCAGACACAGGGGCTGAGAACGTCATGTCAATGTGGCCAGGTAGGTACGTCGTAATGGCATCGTGAAAGAAAGCCCAGAACCTGGCGATCGCTTGCCGACCTCAAGACTGGTGGCATTGAGCAAGTGAAGAGAAAAACTCAACGAGTGGCGATCGGAACAATCGAGCTGAACTGGGCGGGGGTTGCTCGTATGTTAGATGACTGGGGATGGGACGTACAACAACCCCAGAACCAGTTCAGCTCGACTCCGAAGCCACGCAAAGTCTCACACAGACCTCCGGACATGGACACTTGGCATTGCGCCTGCGCGCAGGGGTCGGGGACCCGCTTCCCCAGCCCAAACGCCGAGCAAGCAAGCAAGACAGAGATGGTGCGTGTGACCACGCAAGTCAAACTCACGTATGCGCAATAAGTGCTCCTTGGGAAAACTTTGCTGGAAATCATATGGCCGCAGCTATAGCTCGCAGAAGCCATGGCTAATTCCCGAATGTGCTTGACTATCGTTTGTCAGCTTGCAGGTTAGCAGTACAGATGGAGCAGATCAAGCTCCATGGCCAAGGCCAAGCGTCCAGTAACAGCTCACCTAGAGCCGAAGGTCAACTCCCCGATGCTGACAAGATGCACAGGCCACGGCTTCACAGCCCACGCTGTTCAGCCGGAAGTATTCGCCGTCACGGCTCCGCAGACCATGGACCCTCATCGGCCAATCACTGCGACGAAGTGTGCACAGGCGCTCTCCACAGCCCTGCAAAGGCCCTTAGTACAGCCAGGGGACATAAAGCCGTGCGAGCTCACAACGCAACGGGTCACGAACGGCGATGGTTCCCTCCATCCTCGCAGTCTCGACCTTCGCCTTTCGCAAGCGTCGGTGTGGAAGCAAAAGCCCAAGTTTTGTTTGACATCACTACTTGTACAAGTTGAGAAAGCACAGTCTCTGTCCTGCAGGCCATGCTTCGGCCTCCGAACATCACACTACAACAACCTCGAACCTTCAATCGGGGACAATGGCGCTCACAGAGTGTGAACTACAGTTCACGGCCTGAAAGTTGAGGATACCTGTGGTGGGCAAGCTGTCACAGTTTCCAAGTTTGCACTGGCATACTTTGCTTTGGGGCGCAGTATGTGCAATTGTGCTCTGATCAATATGATCTGAGGCGTCAAAAGCAAGAACGGTTAAACGGTTCTGCAATTGGTGATTCCGGAGAGATCACCTTTTATGCATGCTCATTTCCAACCATGGACATTGATGCCAGCCATCAGGAAATATCACGCAGCGCACCCAGCTCGCTGCGTGGGGGCGTACCTTTTTGCAAGAAGCTCTCGCCTGGGACTGACACGCCCGCATTAGTCTTGCCGGCCCGCCTGCCAAGTCCCCAGGTGCCTTTGAAAAAACGCCATCCACTGCTCCGATGGTCGGGATTTCCGCATGGCGATCCAGTGTTCCTTTGCGTCCATCATCGCCGGTCCAGTGCCTCCTGTACGTGGATGCACTGGGGGAGAGTCAGTAGGCTGCTCTGCTGGGACGTGTCGTCTGCTGGCTCCCTGGCACTGTGAGGGTGGAGTGTGTCCGCGAAGCTTGTGCGGTCCGGTTGGTTTCTGTGGGTTCTCGAACTCCGCCTCTCCCGCAAACTTCCACTTGCCATGAAGCAGGCCGTGTGAAGCGGGCCGTGCACTTTTCCAGGCCCTCGCCTTCGCGCTGCACCGGTGAAAGATCAGCGGCTGTTCGGCGGGCTACCCGACTTGATGGCCTCAAGCTCGACCTGCGACTGCTGGCCGACGATACTTGTAGCAAACACGACCTCCCTTGGCCCGTGTCCTGTTGGAGCAGCTGATGCCGATGTCGTAGCCGTACCTGCTGCTGGCTGTAAGTCATGCTCCAGAGCATTCACGAACGGATGCGGTCACCATATTGGCATTGCTGGTATGATCTTTTCGGTCGAAACCCAAGAACACATCCTTGACTTGGCTTCAATCCATGGCTGTAGTTGCTGTGTTTCGTGCTCGGCCGATCTCTGCAGCACAAGCCCATCATGGACGAGTCGGTGTGGGCTTGGGACCGTGAGTCGCGATCGGCCCGCACTTCTTCAATAATTCTGCTGCAGAGACCCGTGAGGTTCCTTTTAGTTATACAAGAGATGGTTTGCGTTATTTGTGATTGGTCTTTCTGCGGGGCGATGTTTTGGCACTGTTCCTTGCGATGTGCTGGTTTTGGATGCCATTGTCGCAGACGTTGCGGAGCTTTCAGATGTCATGGATTCTAGATGCAACAAATGTGGAGCTGCTTGTCATTGAGTTTTCCGTAGCAGCTCCGGTTGTTTCAAAAAAATCGGAGCTAAGGCCAGACACAGCTCGTAATCATGCCGTTCTGTCGAGGAGACCCGACGTCCGCTCAGTTCAGCTCATGGCCAAGACCAAGCCTGGACGATTTCATGCGTGCAGCGATGGAACCATCGTTGAACCCTGTTCGTTCAAACGTGCAAATCTTAGCCAGTTCGTGCCAAATTTCTTGTGTCCAGAGCTTTGCTTTCTTTGAGCTGCCTTTGCTGGTCGATGAGGCAGCAATCATCGCGCACTTTGACGAGCTGGGTCGGCGCAAACTTCTATGCGCGAGCAAAAAGCTTTGAGCTATTCATTTCCGCACATGCACAACTCGTCACAACCCGTCACACGCAGGCCGGTGACAGTGCTGGAAAGCTGCGATTCGGCGACCCACGAGGCATGAAATAACCGGATGTGCTTCGCTTTTAGATTGGTGGCCCCACCTGCAAAAGGGCACAGCCCGCCTTTCGGCCGATCCTTCTTCCACTCTCCCAGGCCAGTGCAGCGTCAGGTTTTGGGCTACACTATCGGTCGTACTTAACTCGTGGTGAAAGACGAGTGCCCAATCTGGAAAGGTCCGGCGATCTGGTGTTTTTCCCGCTGCGAGCTCGGTTTGCAGGAGAAGGAGCACTGCGAGTTTGTTGAGTTGCTGTTGCTCTTCTTGTAAATCGGTGGAGTGCGAGGGAGACAGAGGACAAGCAAAAATCGTTGTCAAGGGTCGCCGCGCAAGCCTCGCGTGCCTTCGGTTCTGCACATCGAGTGGAGGGGGGAACCCACACCCACACCCCCACCCACCACACCGCACGCACGCAGGCACACAGGCACGCAGGCACGCAGGCACGCAGGCACGCAGGCACGCAGGCACGCAGGCGCGCAGGCACGCAGGCATGCAGGCACGCAGGCACGCAGGCACGCAGGCACGCAGGCACGCAGGCACGCAGGCACGCAGGCACGCAGGCACGCAGGCACGCAGGCACGCACGCACGCACGCATGCACGCATGCACGCATGCACGCTTGCACGCAGAGGACGCACGCGGAGTTTATCCGGTTTGTTTGAGCTTTTGCTCAGCTTGTGTTAGGTAAGACGATCTCTAGTGACTCGGGCTCCCCCGCATATACCCTTGCGCGGCACAGTCACACTCTCAGCTTGCCGCGTGACAAGTGTCATCTTTCTCGCTGTGAGAAAGATTTGTTCGTGAGCTTTTGGGTGCTCTGGTTGCTTGGGAGGGTTTGCCTGTGTGCTTTTCCTGTTGCTGCAGCGGATGGCGCCTTCACAGCACATGGACCCGGTGCTGAAGCGGGCCAGATTCAACATCGAGGACCCCGCTTCTAGTGTACCGCGGCCTTTGGCAGCGGTGCGGGCTGCACGTTTCTCCGCGCAGAGCCTGCAGTCGGGGGAGCCGAAGCCTTTCCCGTCAAAGCCCAGGACCGCCTCCCCTTTTCAGTTTTGTTCAGGTTGCAACCTTCCCACCGTCGCTACGGGTAGACTAGGGCAAATCACATCAACCGGAACCGCCTACTCCGGGCTGAGCGTCCCACAGTCTTGGCGTGGAACTCTATCCGGCACTCTATCCGGCACTTCAGGTGTATCCTTGGAAGTATTGGAGTCGCAGGATCGTTTGAAGCTGGCGCAGTGTTGGGCAGGCCAGGCCAAGGGATTGGCCAAGGACAGCGATGTGTTCTTGGGCATGGATGGCTGCGTTCGTGACGATGATCTGTTACGCCTGTTATTGGATAGGGCCCCATCTACCTTAAGGAAAACATCTGTCTGGTTGGAGGGCATGATGGCATGGGCTTCCTTTTGCGCGTGTGTGAACTGGCAGGCTGGTGCTCCGAAGCTTGCTCAATTGCTGGATTTTCTCCGAGGCTTGGCTGAAGGTGCAGCCTTGGATCGCGGCAGGGGGCGTGTATCTTCTGCACGAAGTGTGCTCTCGGCCATCACGTCCACAGCGCACAAACTACGCCTTATCTCCTTGTTGGAATCGCTGGATAACCCTCTCGTGCGGTCTTGGACATCGGCAGATAAATGGGAGAGACAGCCCGCCCGCGAGGCGATTCCCCTACCCCTAGCTGCAGTTTGTGCGCTTGAACAGGCCGTGGTTGCAGATTGCGCGGAAGACCCCTGGATCATTTGTTGCATTCTACTTATTAATTATGCTTCATGCTAGCCTGCGTTGGTCGGACGCACAAAGAATGCGAGTGGCTAGTCATCGTGTCCGATGGCGACACGATTCGCGGCTGGACCTGGCGGTGCAAAACCTCTGCGTCAGGCATGGATTGGGGCTGCTTGCGCAGCGGCTTCCAGTCTGCTTGGGGAGCCGTGTTCATGAAGGGTTTGGAAATGCTTCGCGCGGGGCAAGACTTTCTACTTGCAGGCCCCGGAGGAGGCCCAATGTCATACAGTTGCATGTTGGGCCAGTTGAGACGCTGTCTCATGTGCGGGCTTTAGTGCAGAACAGGCCCAGCTCTTTACGCTTCACAGCCTGAAGTGCACACTTCTTTGCTGGGGGAATCAGCTTCATCTTAGCAAGTCTTTGCGTGCCTCACAGGAGCATCACCGCTACACGAGTGTGTCCGGTGCAGTGCAGAAGTATGGGCGGGACGATGTGATTGGACAAATCAAATTTAAACAGCCAGTTTGGAGGGCAGTGTCTGGTGGGTGGATTCCTGGTATTCCGCTACACCGTGGGGTCACCCGTCTGGATGCACTTGACTCTTTGTGCGTCCCCTGCAACAAAGGCGCCGCGACGGTCGAGGACACCGCGCCCAATGACATGGTACCTGGCTCCGACACAGAGTCCGAAGAGGAGGAGGAGGAGGAGGAGGAAGCCGGTGCGAATCTTGTTGCTCCAGAAGACGTGGCAGCTTGGTCGGAAGGGGAGGACTCGGCGGCCCCTTCCGACTGGGCTGTGGCTGCTGAACTACAAGACAGGATGGTTTCACCGTGCGGTCAAACTGGGCGATGATGATCAGTGGTGCCTGGCCTGCCGTCCACGAGCTGTCCTACTACATCCTACGTGAAGCCGATCCGCGCTTTGATGACTGGACAGCATGTGGGCATTCGGGTTGCCAGGACTCCTGGTCTGCGTCCTGAGCCCGGGCGCTGTGCTGGTGGTAAAATCGGCGCTGTGGATGCTGTGTGTCGTCACTCTTATTCTGGGACGGGCAGCCCAAGCGCTGGGATGTGTGCGTGGGCAGCTACGAAGTCGTATCATGCAGAACTGAGGTTTGTGTGGTCAGGCTGGCAGGCGAGTGTCTGCTTGTCCGCTCCTGGCGGGTGTCAGGCTGTCTGTGTGCGCAGACGAGTGTCTGTGTCCGGGTATCTGAATTTGGGGATGTCATGTGTGGCTAGCAGCAGGCGAGTGTCTGCTTTTGGCCGTCTACGTGCATAGAAACGGTTTAAAGCGGGCCGGAGTCAGTCCTGCTACGTGTGTGGGATGGGCATGTGCGGCATGATGGATGTGGCTATACTGCGTGCAGTGTGAGCTCAAGCCTTTCTGCGTGATACGTGTATCAGTGTCTTGCTTTGCTGCCTTTTGTTTGCATTTGCGTCTGGCAGCAGCTACCGAGTGGAACAAGTTGCTTGCAGACGCGATGGTTCCGGACCCTGTGGAGTCCGGTTTGAAGTCGCTGGGGTACGACAGCAAGGCGTCATTCAATTTTGAGTCGTATAGGAGGTCTTCAAGGCATTCGGTAAGCATGCCTTGGTAACAAAGAAGCTTGTGGCCGGCGTGTCTGAGAGCGACTGGACATTCCAGCCAATGCTCGGGAGGTTTGGCAAGCGTGCTAGCCGGCTCAGGTTGCTCCAGCGGTCACAGCATTGGGGTTGCCCCAGCCGGGGCAACCTGGCGTATGGGCAGCCATGGGTGCATCGAGTTCGCCGGCCAAACTCACCGTGGCTCATCGGGACAAGATGAGACGCGATCTGGAGGCCAAGTACACAGGGCTGTATGTTACAGAAGCCTCACTCCCATCCATGTCACTGCTGCAGCTCGTGCAGAATCAGTGCACCCAGAAGGCTTGGGAGTGGCTGCCGTGGAAGAAGCTGCTCAGCGAGAAAGCAGCTCTGGAATTGCATTCCCCTCGTCCACGCTCAGCCAAAGATGGATGCCTTGGAGCAGCTGCTTTTGAATGCTGGAGGAAGATGCGAGGGACATGGACCTGTCGCCGCCACCGTTTCGTTTGCAGCAAACGTTGACAGTGCGCGGGCACGCGTACGCCATGTCAGGGGCTGGGCTCCTTGGGTCGTGGTCGTTGTATATGGCGCGCTTCATGGAGTTCTATGCAGCTCCGGCAGAGGAGCACTTTCGGGCCCCTAACTTGTCGGAGGCCGAGGAGGCTGATCAGCAGGCCATTCGAGAGATCTTCTCGTTATGCTTCTTCAGTGGCGCTACTCTTGACGACGCAATCGCCAGCGTCGTATTTGACCGAGATATGTTGAGACACCTTTTGGTTGCGCGCCCCAAAATTCCCAAAGCTGTCAAGACCCCTCGTAAGGAAGAGTCCACTCCACTGAAGAGACGTCTGGCCCCGTTCAGAATTGCGAGGCATCAGACCACCAAAAAGCCCCGTTCTGGAGAGTGCTTTGATTGGATGGACGGGAAGTGCCGGAACCCGAATTGCCGCTGGAAACATGAGTGTGCCAGATGCGGAGATCGCCGCCATGATTCGCGGAGCTGCACCAAGGAGGTTAAGAAGTCTCGGTGATCCCTACGCCCTACGCGCGGCCAGCGTCGAAGACCCTTGGTCGTTGTGCGGTGCAGAGTCGTGGGGGCAGGACTCTCCGGCCTTGTCCGTGGTTTCGGGTTCATTCTGGACGTTTGTAAGGCTCACAAACGGGTCCTGGTGTCTCACATAGTGAGCGCGGCTACGGATACAGCTTGTTTACAGTCGTGGACGATGAGGGCCAGACGCACTGGCTGGTATATCACACATGCCATTTCGGTTCTTGGGCTGCGTATTGGTGGGCACGGGTAGGGGGCGCCTTCGGGCGGCTTGCCCATCGCCTACTCAGGTCGCCGCACTTCTTAGCGTTGTACGTAGATGACCTGCTGTGCTTGCTATGTCGACAGTTCGCTCTCCCGCTTGCCTCTTGGTGATGTTGGCATGCTGCTTGGGCATACCACTGTCGTGGCACAAACTTCGGATAGGCACTTCCTTTCGCTGGATCGGATGGGAGTTTCACTTGGCTACACCGCGCTGTCATGCCAGTTTGCCGGAGGACAAGCGGAGTGCACTGCTTCAGGGTTTGAGTTCGATCGCGTGCCAGACGGTGTGGGTCAGCCGGAAGAGTGTGCAATCCTTGGTTGGCAAGCTAGTGTGGTTCACGTCTGGAGCTCGCTGGCTTCGGCCGTGGCTAGCGGTGTTGTTCCACCTTACCCACAAGCCGGCTCTTCGGTTTGCGTCCTTGAGCAGCTGCCAACTACAGGCGTTGGTGCATAGTTTGGATGACCAAATGCGGGTGAGAAAGGCAGTCCGTGGAGCAGATGTTCGCATGGGTTGGGTGGTTCTGGAGGCGCAGGGGTCCACGTTGCGGGATCCTAGGGAACTGCTTCATTGCCGGCTGAAGAACGGTCGTGCGTGGATCAAGCTGGCGGATTATGACTCGAGCATGGTGATGGTGAATGAGGAAGAAGCTGGGGTCGCACGATTCCTGCGTGGGTTGGTCGAGACATCGGTTTGCGTCCCGCTGGTGGCTTAGGAGGCTGGTGGCTGCTGCCAGGATCGAAACTTGAGCTGCGTGCTGTCACTTGGTTCTCGCTGCGCGTACACCGAATACACCGATCAAATTTGCCTCAGTGCTTGACACAGTCATTTGAGAATGGCGGCCTTCAGCAGGTTATCTGTGGGTTGGAGGCTCTGGCGCAACTACTTCTTCTGGATGGCATTGTGCAAGACTCGGGTCATGACCCAACCATTCTCAACTCTGCGTTTGTGTCTGTGCGACAACGCCGTGACAACATGGGCTTTGTGTGTGCTGCGGCCAAGGGCATGTCTCTTCGGCAGCCACTCTGTGCTCCAGTCCGTGACAGTTTCCCATATCCCAGGTGAGAAGAATGTATGGGCGGATGCCCTGAGCCGTGGTGAGGACTTGTTTCCTCAGGTATTTGCATCTTTGGACAGCCGCTTGGAGTCCTTGGAGTTCGAGCCAAGGTGGCAGGAGCTGCTGGATCTTGGGCAGCCGCCCCGTGTGTAAATGGGACAGGCGACTTGGGCGACGGCTGCGGCTGGGCTTTGGCGCAGAATCGATGACCAATCAGTGCAGCCTGTCGCCAAAAGAGAGTGTGCTTGTTGTGGCAAGTGCAGGAGTGTGACCCCGCATATACCCTTGCGTGGCACAGTCACACTCTCAGCCCGCCGCGTGACAAGTGTCATCTTTCTCGCTGTGAGAAAGATTTGCCCTCCCGGCCGCCCCAGAGGGGTGGCGGAGGGTGGCGCCGCGCTGCGCCGCCTATATCTCGCTCCAAGAAGCGCTCCAGGGTGGCGCAGAATCAATGACCAAGCAGTGCAGCCTGTCGCCAAAAGAGAGTGTGTTTATTGTGGCAAGTGCAGGAGTGTGACCTGCCATTTTCGCCGATTTCAGATAATGCTGTTGCTTATGACCCCGAAGACTTCGGAGGTTTCAGGTTTCTTTGGGGGAGGGTGGAGGGGAAGGGGAGGATGGGGTTTAGAGGTTTCGGCACTTTGGTCACACTTTCCTAGTCAATTTTTCTTTACGCCTTGGTAGACACTAAACATGTTTGCATCTGAGGACAGTGCAGGTACGCAGGCTTCTCACACCCTGCTTTCAAGTAGGCCCCGTATCGCCAGAGTACATCGTTGCATGTCGCAGGGACGCCTCAGTCTTGGTCATGTTTGACCCTATAGCTTTCATTTCATCTCTGAAACTTTCAACGCTTCATTTCGTGGCTGTGCTTAGGTTCTAGGCAAAAGCGTCCTAAACCTTCAGGATGTTTAGGCTCTGAGCTTTCTGAGGACGTCTGATAAGTCACTGGCGCAATGCGTCTTTTGTAGAGGGTTGTGATGTTTTTGGTATGGGGGCTTTTGCGCAATACTAACGCGCATGTTTTTTTTTGTGGGTCTTCCGAGTGTAGGGTTGCTGATTGTAAGGTTTCTTGCGAGTTCGTGTTGATGTCATATATGTCTGCCATGCGAGGATCCGCACAACGTATGGTTTCTAGCACTTGAAGCTTTTGTCACGCATGGGTACGTTGGGCTCTACGAGCTGCTCATAAACTACTCCACTGAAAGCGTACCGAAACGACGTCGATAAAGAGTCCCCAAAGCACACATGTGCTTAAGCCACAGTTTTGCGCACTTCCACGCTTTAACAGCAAAACGACCACGTGCGAACGGCCCGGAGTCATTCAAGAACGTGTCACCTTGTTTTTGCTGTTTCTCAGGTGCTTGCAGCTTCATGTCAGCTTTGCTTTTCCTTTTTCACTAAGATCAGGTCACAAAGGCCCCGGTGTCCAGGATGTCGCAGGGGACCTTCGCTCCCGTTCAGCCGTTGTAGCGTTATTTCGACAATTTGTTCATTTGTTCAGCACATTTTTAGCCGCAGCCGCAGAATCGCTGTTTGGCTTCCAAGTCAGTTGCAACGCAATCAGGGTCTGTCGTGCATGCGCGGTGTGGAAAGGTCCTGGCTCAGTCACATGGCAACAGTGACAGCTCCACAGTCGCCTTCTCAGAGTTTGTCGTACTGATCGTTGACTCGCTGAATTTATCGAGTCGAGAGAATCAGTTCAGCTTGCAGCAGGACAAACCCGACTTCTGGAGAAAGCCCACCATTGCGCGGCCTGCACGTTTAGAAGCACATTTTGAACTGTCGGAGCTCACCACATGTGGCTCAAGGCAGCCGGCAGCTCGAGGCTTTGAGCGTTAGACTGCGACTTTCTTGCATTTCTGCAGCCAGGCGTGTTGTGTTCTCCTTCAACATAGGACCGGTCCAGGGCCCGATGCCGCGGCATGCCCAGAGATGGCCGCAAAGGGCACCGTCAGGGTGGATTGCTTTTGCAAGAAGCCAAAGCATGTCAAGACTTCTCTTTCTCGCACGGGGCATCTCGGCTCGGATCCTGGTAAGAGCACATCCAGATCATCTGAGCATTGCTCCGGTGCCCGTGCCTCAGTTCCATTTGCGGCAAGCACAGCAACATGCAGCAGTGTGGAAGCCTGCTGTCATCTCCCAGGACTGGTGGCTTGTCATGAGTCTAGCATCGTTGCTTCTGCTGCTGGCTCCACTGGTGCAGGCCCAGAAAGTGTCAAGGAACAACAGAGTGCAATTCAGTTACTTGTTTCAACTTGTTCGAACGAGTGCCATCCATTGGGTGGTGCAGCACCTTGCACACCATCACGCCCTCCTTTCGATACGCGATCGATTGGAGGTTTTGTAATGGCGGCCAGAATGGTCATGCAAATTGGCATGTGTTCCAGCGCAGCGGCACGCTCGTTTGGGCTTTTTTCTCGAGTGTAGAGCAACAAGATCACTCAGAGGAAGGCCAACCCCGGTCGCCGGACTTCTCGGCATGCTCCGCTAAGCTTTCGGATCGGTTCGGCTTTCAGCCTGCCCTGTAAAGCCTCTGTGCTGCTCGAGGCCCAGGTCAAATTGTGAAGCCTGGGCCCCATTGGCCCAACGCCCACCAACATAACCTCGATGCATCCTGCAGTGTGTCACGGTTTTCCGGGCCTCGTCTTGGGTTGACCAACCACCTGCTCGGTAGGTGTAGTTCATAATAGTATAGGGCACTCAGCCTGAATTGATTCTTGCATACCTGCAATTCGTGGGGGCGGCTGGGGGCTGAGGGCTGGGGCTGAGGGGAGGGTTGGAATATCTGCTTGTTGGAATGTGGGGTTGTTTCGTCATGTTGGCAGCTCAGAAAGGATTGTTGCTTCCCTGCCTGTGGTGGCTCGAAGATTTCCAGAGCCATGGCCTGGACGTAGTGCTCGGCTCGGGTTGGTGCAGATGAAGGTCACGATGTTCACTCTACTCAATGTCGTGATTTCCTCGTACTTCCGCGCAGCTGCACCTTGCCTGATTTCCGCATTGCTGAACCCGAGATCTTTTGCAATCCTTCCTTCCTTAACCGAGCGGCTAGCCCCTGGAGAAAACATTCATCATTAAGCTACAGAGACTCGGCATTGAATCGAACCAAAGCAGACTTCTGCTTCATTGCCTCAGGGATCTCACGGATTGGCACAAGTCAAGCCCCTATAGCGCTTGAAATCTCAGCAAAGATTCTCTCGCTTTTCTCGTGGGTTCATTCCAGGGCCTGCACACTTTCTCCTGGCCGAGGCAGCGCATGACATAGGCTGAAAAGGCACCACAAGAGCACCGGCCCTTATCTAGGCGTTTAGGTTGAGCAATGCCGCGAGCGTTCAAACTGCGGTGTCTCGGATCGAAAAATGCCCTGCTGTCATTGTGGAGTGCTTGCTGCACTCCTTTGAGAAGTTTACCTTTCGGCAATTTCATTTTGGTGCAGTAAGGCGCAGCTTGACCAACTTCATGCCTGTATCGAAGCTCTGCCCCAGTGTACTGCAGAGTTGTGGGCTACCAACCAACGCAGCGGCGCCACCAGCGAGGAGGAACTTAGCTTTGGCCTTTTGGGAAGCTGGATGAAGGAGTTGTATACACGGAAGGAGGAGCCTCGACTTGCAGACGATGCGGCGTTGCGTGCTGCCACGTTGAGTCGGTTGATTGCCTGGGCCGAGTACAGCTTGTCGCACGACTCGCGGTTCAAGTTTGCCATTGGACTGGGCCAGATGCTTTTTCTTTACTTTTGGTGGGGTGCGAGTTCTCCAGAGGCCGAGGGCCAGGAGGTTTCGAGTCGAGGCTTTGGACCCAGCACTGACATAGCCGCCCTGTCCCTTCAGCTGCACAGAGCAAGTCTTCTGGAAGGAGGGTGCTCCTCGCCCAGCACAGGGCAAGAAGACTTTGAGCAGCGAAAGTGTTCCTGGCGCTGGAGGTTCGTTTTGCTTCTGCAAGTGGAGCTGAGCAAGCAGTTGGCTACTCAAAGAGACCTCCATGGTGCTTTGATGTATTTGCGGCAGGCTGAAGCACAGCTTGAAATCATGCGACACCTTCCATTCTTCGCTGGGCACCAGAGCCTTCTCCCTGGCGAAAGCCCTTACAGAGTCAATCATAACGATGACTATCTTCCACGCGCGAGGCACTGGCCAGTTTGGCCCCGTGAGGCTTGGCCCTCCTTTGCGCATTTCCTGGAGCAGCATGCCGAAGTTTTTCGATCCGAGCTGCACCAGTTGGTCCTTGCCGACTCGGAGTATGACGAGATTTTTCGTACAGTCCAAGAGCAGCAGACTGAATTCACGCCCCTCCCGAGGGAGTGGGGCTTGCTGGATCTTGTGAGACATGGCAAGGCCACGGCGGCTTGCCCATATGCTCCTCGCAGCTGTGGCCTGCTTGAAGCTCGTCCAGAGATAAACTCGCACTGCTTCTCCGAGCGGATGCCAAATGCCGGCGTCGCCTTTGCGCGCCTGCTCCCAGGCACAGAGATTAAGCCTCACTTCGCCACTGAACCTCGGCTTGCTGTTCACCTTGGACTCATCACACCCCCTGGTCCAGAAATGTGGGTGGCTAACGAAACAGTAAGCTGGTCGGAGGGACACGCAGTGGTTTTTGACGACACGTACTTTCACGGAGTACGCCACCGTGGGGACCAAGCTCGATTCGTTCTGTTGGCCTGGATGTGCCACCCGTGCGACCGCGTCTGGCGAAGCAAGGCCGGACTAGACCCGCAAGAGCCACCAAAGCACTGCACGTAACTCCGCTTGACCTCTTGCGGCTTCTTGAGCAAGCCAGGGCCGCCAAGGGTGGTGGAAGCGCTTGGAAGCGCTGCTGTGACGAAGCTGCGTTTGCGCTCAGAAGATAGGCACGTCCACTTTTCCTGCCCGAGAACTGCGCCGAGTGTCGGGGTTAGCCGGCTGACTCTGTGTCCAACTCGCGGTGCCGTACAATCTGCAAGAATCGGGTGAGAAAAGAGAGACATTGCGCAGTTGCTGTGCTGCTTGCCTGCTTTTATTTCTTCCGGTTCTTGCAATTCTAGCAGCTAGCATGTCGCCAAAGAACTGCCTGGTCGTTGTGCACGGTGGTATGCTGCCTTTCTTAATGTTGCGGCCCGAATAATAGGGTCCCCCCCCGGACCAAAAGTTTCGGTGCGATTAATCTGGTGTCAGTGACCCTTCGGTACTACAACCGTAGTACCGTAGTAGTACAGTAATAGTACAATAGTAGTACAGTAGTAGTACAGTCGTAGTAGAGCAGTAGTAGTCGTAGTCGTAGAAGTAGTAGGAGTAGGAGTAGGAGTAGGAGTAGGAGTAGGCGTAGGCGTAGGAGTAGGAGTGTAGGAGTGTAGGAGTAGGAGTAGGAGTAGTAGTACAGCAGCAGTACAACAGTAGTACATCAGTAGTACAGTACGGGAGTTTAGGAGTACCTGGAGCTGTTTAGCGGCGTTTGGGGATCACCAAAAGCTGGAAACCAATACCTCGACCATTCCAAGATAACTACCAGGACTAAAAGCCCTTCATTTTGAACACTTTTGCCTCCAACCTACACTCCCCTCCACAATCGACCACGTCTGAGGCCTGGTGTGGTACAGTAGTAGTACAGTCATAGTACAGTAGTCGTGCAGTAGTACAGTAGTAGTACAGTAGCAGTACAGTAGAAGCACAGTAGTGGCACAGTAGTAGTACAGTAGCAGTACAGTAGCGGTGCAGTAGTGCCATAGTATTACAGTAGTAGTACAGTAGTAGTACAGTAGTAGTACAAGAGTAGTACAGTAGTACAATAGTAGTACAGTAATACATTACAAAATCCCCAATAAGCAAAACACTTTTGCAAGAGATTTCCATTCCTAACGCCCCAATAAGCGAAACAATTCTGCGAGAGGTTTTCCTTCTAACGCCCCAACAAGCGAAACAATTCTGGAGTAGTACAGTCATAGTACGGTAGTGCAGCAGTAGGGCGAGAGGTGGGTTTAAGAAGGTGGGGTTTCGGGTTTAGGGCGAGTTTCGGGCTTCAGGGCCAGGGTTTTGGGGTTTGGGCGGGGATACAGGTCGTGGGTGCCTTAAGATTGACCATCAGCACAAAGGAGCAGTCACCCCAAAAATTCCACCCAGCCAAAACGACGCATTAATTAGGACGCCCATTTTTTGGTACCGGCTTGAATAAGGAAAAACACGCACTAAATAGGCCATATTCCTAAACGGGCCGCCGCATGACATCAGGCAACGAAGTTGCTCGGCGCTGACTCACCCGGGTGCCCCTGCGCACAGAGCCTTGATAGCAGTGCAGTTGCAGTGGTGGCACCTCGCAGTTTTTCGCCTTCCTTGTGTTTCGCCATTTTTCTCAGGAATGCAGCTGACTGGAGTGTTCGAGATGCCCACCAGGTAGTGCAAGTTGCATCGCTGTTCGTGACTAAATAGAAGCAAATTGCCATCAGGCCGGACTCTCTTTGACGCAAGTGGGAAAACAAGCTCCCATGGTCAGATGCCAAGAAACTCGATATTCCTGGCAGAGTGAGAGTCCCGCCTCTGCAACGCGACCCAACATGCAGGCAGTTGGCTTCACGCCCCCTCCGCTGCCTGACATCGAGGCAGCATGTTTGGAACATTTCGCGTAGGATCTTGCCGAGCCTTCACAGGTGCCTCCGGCTGTGCCATTGCCAGCTTCGGGTGCTGGCCCATGGGGGACCGGGAAAGGGACTTCTCTAAAGCGGGTCGGGTGCCAATCTCTCAGCTGAAGGCCCGCCACCGCCACCGCCTCCACCAGCCATTCCTTCACTTCCTCCTGTTCCAAATGTCGGGCCGGAGGACATGCACACACTTTCCTTGCACCGCAAAAAACTTCAAGAGTGGCCGAATCAGTGCTGCCACAACCGGGTTTCAGGACATCCCACTGCAGAGTATGGAAGGTGGATCTTTCTCACATGTTCGTCCCTGTCATGTGTTCTCGTGACGGCAGGCGAAAATACCAAGTCTTGGTACACAGTGCCTCCCAGCGTGGCTGCCATGGTGAACAGCACCGTGACACCGCTGAGTGCTCAGCCTGTGCTACTGTAAGCTTGTCCTTGTGCCGAAGTGCTCTCAAGGTTGCCCATGGCATATCCTTCAGCTGCTGTTCCGGTTCGCCTTGCTGAGCTCTCTTCTGTGATCGCTGCGAATGGTCGCTGCATCTGGCAAGGCTGTGCCCACAGCAAACGATCTCATGCCGAGGTGGACCGTGTGGCACTCTAAATTTGATTTTTCTTAGCGGTAATGTTGCAGCAGGTTCTTGCCAGCACCCGTGGTGCCTTCACAGGTGCAGGCCGAGGCAATCTTATTGCCAGTTGAAGTCTTATCGCATCGGGACGTCGGCACTTGCCATGGCTAGCACAAGACGTTGTGATTTGGGTGGAACCTTGGAAAGGCAATCCGACACACGCTGCAAAGCCGCATCCTGAGAAAACTGGCATTCTTCCGGCAGCCTGGAGGGAACGCTCTTGTGGGTGTTGTGACATGACAAGATGGGCTTTTGTTTGGACCCGTTTTGCCGCATGGGTCAATGAGGGACATGACTGGTTCATGAGTTCCCTTGTTTGTAAGACATCCGCCCACGACATCTGTGCTTATCTTGCCTGCATCTGGATGGCGATGACGATGATGAGACGATGCTGAAGCATGTGATAGTGTGCCTACCAGATGCTGGTGATGATAGTGGTGGTTGTTTGTAAAATCCCGCTGCCACAGAGCCCTTGAGTCATACTAATAGCATCACAGTGGCAAAAGGAACGACCCCCCAATTTCAACTTGGTAGCGAAGCTGGTGCCCGTCGGGACCAGCCGAGCAGGTCAAGTGCCTTGGGCTTCGACCCGTCAGCTTCACCCTGTCAGAACAGGAGGAACCGCTAGCTGAAAATGATGTCGACAGCGCACATTTTACGGGGCATCGATCTGCTCTGCATGAGCTGGTCTAGGCGGATATGGCTATCGTGAACAAGTGTTTGTGTGGCGAAAGTCACACAGCTGCCGTGAGCACCCGGACCGAAGAGTCTGACCTCCCCGTCATGCATTCGGATCGCATGCTGCTACTACTACTTCTTCTTCTTCTTTTACCACCACTACCACCACTGCCTCCTGCTGCTTATAGCACTGCAACCAGGCATTATTGATATCGTTAGTGCTTGGGGGGCCGACGACTACGACGACGACGATCCCACTACTACTAGTGCTACGACTTCTATTGCTAGTACTGGTGCTGCTTCTACTAGTATTCTTATCATTCGTGTTTATTGTTATTATTACTATTACTACTACTACTGCTGCTGCTACTACTACTACTACTACGACGACGACGACGACTACTACTACTACCCCTGCTTCCACTGCTGCTTCTGATACTCGTCACAAAAGTAGTGCGGCTATGTGATTACGATTGCCAATGGCAACGGCACCACGCCTGTCTTAGGATTTTGACTTCTCGTGCCAAACCCAACAGTCGCCCGCAGCCTTGCTAGTATTCGTATAAATGGTACAGCCAGCAGTGCCAAGAGTCACCAAGCGCATGTCGGACTCGGTACTTCGACTACATCTAATGTAGCCACCAACAAAACCAGCCATTGCGACCCTCTTTACAGTAAGAAGGTCTTGGAGAGACGCTTTTCGGTCGCCAAGATAATCGTCCCCAGCAATTTGCCCCAGGTTGGCCAATGCCACCTACATTGGCAGCTGGCCCGGCCGCTGCTCCCGCACCAGCACCAGCCGCAGGCAATTCGCCAATTCAGCTTCGCAGAGTTCTTTCAGCGTGCCTGCCATTCTGATCAGGCTTCCTGCAGAGGGCGACAAAGGAGGCCAGGCCCGTTTTGTTGAAATCGTCGTAGTATATTATGAGGGCGGTATTTCATCGATTCCAGCCGAAAGCTAGGCCGTGAAGCGTCGAGTCCTTACGGCCAGCGAAGTTGTTGAGATGGTTGTGTCAGCAAGATGGACGTCAGCCTGCGCATCTCTGAGGTTCTAGCAGCTGCCCCTGCGCATAGAAGCTGATAGCCGTGACTTATTAAGGGCTGAGGCCGCTGAAAAGAAGTCGCGCTGAAATTCTTGGTAGACATCTGCACACGCTTTTTCTTCACCCTCTTTGCATGCAATTGCGCAGTTGTGTGTCCAAGGTGTCATGTGTGGTGGAGTGACCCCACTGGTGACATGCGATTCAGGCACTGCCGTTTCAGCTGTGTGCTATGTGCATGACCGTTGCTGAGAACAGGGCAGTGCAATCATGTCTCTGTTGCCGGGACCGCCGTTTTACTTGAAGCGTGCTGTGAGCACTTACTTTCTCGCAAGCGCAGAGATGCTTGCAGCAAGCACGCATCCGTGCAAAGCCAATTCATCGGTCCGGTCCATGTAGACATCGGAGATGCGTGGCGCCAAGCTGCAACTTTCACGAATATCCGTAAGACATGATGGGATGTCATGCATTCGCACTGCAAGTCAGACTGCCTGCTCCGCCAACTCTGCCGCCGCTGGCTCACAGCTTTGGGCGATCACAATGGTTTGCACAGTTGGACAGGCCTTGCCACTGCGCAAGAGGGCTCCTTGTTCGGTGGTTCAGATGAACATGAGACATCGCCTGACAGGCGTCCATGATACCCTGGATTTTCCTTCTGCTGTGGCTGCCGCGAGCAGCAGGTGAACCCTGGACGGAGGACAGCATGTGACATGGACCTTGCTAGGGTGCTAAGGCTGCTAAGGGCGTTGAGACGAACGAACCTTAGCCCAAGATGTTCTGGTGCGCGGAGTGACACTGGTGCAGGAGAACGCAGCGTGGAACATCAATTTCCAAGCAAGCCATGAGCCGATGCATTACTGGGGGCAATGGCCATCCCACAATTATTTCCCTTCGCCGCCGGACTGGCGCAGTCTCGTCATTTACCAGTGCCTTTGCTTGTTGTTTTGGTGCAGACGTGTCCTGGACCACGGACCACGGAGCGCTTGAGAGTTGAAGGTTGATAACGGATCGTTTCGCAGACGGCGACCCGCACAACAACGAGCTTTTTGCCGGAGGTTTCGATGTCCGGGACACATGGCACGCAAGTGCTGTTGTTGTGATCCCTCATACTGGTAATTTGCAAAACTTTTTTCTTGCCTGATTTTTTGAGGATATGACCTTTCGACATGGCGGCGATTTCGCCGGGTTAACGAAGAAGTTGAACTACATCAAGGGCCTTGGGTGCAATGCTGTCTGGATTTCACCCATATTTCAGACGCCCGGCAGCATGGCCAACCGTGGTGTTGAAATTGTGCTGGTAGTGAGTCTTTCCTCGACTCGACGATCTCGACGGGGTTCTTCTTTAGCGACCTTCGTGGACCTAGCTAGGCGCGAAGACAGGCGCTTAGCCGGCGTGGCAGGCGACGAGAGCGACAATACGAAAGGATGGGGTTTCAGATTCTGCGTGCAGGATCTCCGGGTGTAGCCCGTAGGGGGTGTATGTCACGATGTACCTGAGCTCTGCAGGACGAGCAAGGCTCGGAAGGCAGACTTCTGTAGGCAAAGAAGATCAACGCAACCGGGCAGATGACTCTGGTTGGAGTGTCGGGGGGGGTGGGGGAGGCGTGGCTGAGCGCTGGGAAATGAAGGTGCGTGTGACGCCGTGGCCGCTGCAAGATGAGATGCTGCAAGTAGTAAATTTTGCAAAACCTGCCAGGGCCAGTAAATGCTTGCTACATCGCTCGACGCAGTACCGCAGATCTTGACCAAAATGATCTAAAGCCTCGCATCTCAACACACCTAATTGGCAGATTTAGTTGGCAGACTCTGTTTCTCGTGCTGCTCCCCACATGTCGGCTCGCGGTAGTGCGAATGATCCTTTCAGACTGCCGATGTGTACCTGCTGCAGGAATGGCTACAACTTCTACCACCAGTACGCACAGATCGATTTCACAGTTCTAGACAGACGTATGGGAACTCTTGAAGAGCTCCGCAACCTTGTTAACGAAGCCCATGCCCTCGACATGTATGTCATTGTTGACGTTGCCCCTTGGAGGAACGAAGAAGCCCGTGTCTGCATATGTGGGTGTCGCGATGCGGGGCTTTAGTTTGCATGCTCGTCCTGTATCTCAGGTGATGAACCACATGGTGGCTTGTCCCTGCGAATTTGGGCATACTTGTGTCGTGGTCAGTGCATGCTGTCTTGGTTGCAAGTAGCCAGAGTCCGCAAGACTTGGTTGACATCCTGTCGAGTTGCCCCGAAGCTGACAATGTTTGTCCACAGGAACACACACACAGGAGCAAAGTGTTGCAGTCTTGACCTCGTAGTCTTTAGGGCTTCCCATGCGTCGATGCTATCAGGCGAACGACTATTATTTCGAGGGCCACGCGATGAGCCAGGCCACGTGGCGATTCCATGAGGATGGGGGCAAGCGCGAGTACAAACTGAAACCGCGAGCTACCCAGGCAGAGACGGCATGCACGAAGATCCATCGGGGTTCGATGTTGTCTAGTGTAATGGTAAGCTGAGGCTGGGTAGTGCAAGCGTGTTAAACCAGCAGGCCTCTTACTTTCACGGCATGGTTTGGTGCGGCGATGCGCTTTGGCAATCCTTTGGAAATGAGCCTACAGGCATCCTGATCAACATGGACGCCTGCGAGGACCGATGTCAATCAGACCCCGATTGCTTCTTCTTCCTGTACAAGAACGACCTGGGCTCCTTGAGCACATATCACTGCGCAGGCTTCAATTCTTGCAGCTCTCCAACCCCCTACACTGATGGTCAGGGACATGTCTACAAGAAGTGGGTTTGGCCCGTAAAGGCCGTTCAAGAAGCAGCAGATGTTTGGTGCGGAAGCCACTTGTGGCAAGAATACGGGCACGAAGCAACCGGGCTGCTTGTAAACCAGGACACTTGCGAAGCCGCTTGTGCTTCCGATGCATCTTGTCAGTTCTACCTTTGGAAGGACGACCCTGCTGCAAACACACGCTTCCATTGTGCTGGCTTCGGAACGTGTGCAGAAGCTGATCAAACTCCGTTCGGGGATGGTGACGCTTCCAAAATCTTTCAGAAAAGGACCAAGGCTGAGAGAGACAAAGATGGCCTTTATCACACACCTGCTGGTCGGCAACCGTATAGTGATTTCTGGTACAGCAATGCGTGGGATCCGGCTGCGCAGTACAACGGGACCCTGTACGGTCAATGGGGCGAGAGTGCAACGGACACGGGCTATGGCACCTACATTGAATCAGATTTTCATCACAACGGAGATTTGATCGACTATCACGATCCTTGGGAGATTAACCTTGGTAAAATCTACGGTGTTATGGACGACTTGCGGCTTGAGCAGGACCGTGTCCAGCAGAAGTACATAGCCATGACCAAGGCCTTGATTGAGACCGCTGATGTGGATGGGTACCGTGTGGACACCCCGATGCAGGTGCCGTTGAACTTTTACAAGGCTTGGGCACCAGCAATGAGAGCTCATGCAAAGACGCTTGGCAAAGATCGCTTTGGGATCTTTGGGGAGTTCTTCGTCAGCGCAGAGCGCTACGCTACCATGACCGGTCGAGGTCGAGACAATACGATGTACGGCCAGGATCGGTTCATTGACGACATAGCCACGCTGAAAGGCGGCATTGTCTACCCGTACTACTGGTATGTATTTACTGCGATGGTGTACCAGCGCCCAGAGTATGCAGATGGTCTTCCGTTGGCATATGTCGAAGAGAACAAAATGATTGACACATATGATCCAACCACCAATCGTCACGAGTACTCGATGTGGACATTCTGCAACAATCACGACAACTGGCGGCTGCAGAGTATGACCGGCAAGCCACACTTCGTGATGTGTCTTGCAGTCATAACCTTCTGGCCAGGCGTTCCTCTTCACTACGCAGGCGACGAGCAAGACTTTGACACTCCGGGCAGTGCTCTCGACGGATGGGCTCGAGAAGAGCTGAGTACATCCTTAGCTTGGCGAGCAGTCCGCACGCAGGAATCAGGTAACCCAGCAGATGGAGACAATTTTGACATGACCCATCCAACCTACTTGTACATCGGCCGGCTCAGTGCTCTGAGACGAGCCTACTTCGGCATTTTCGGAGCTGAAGAGTGTGACGAAGTCCAATACCCTTCATACGCGACCCCAGATGTGCTTGTCTTTCTGCGTGGCTGCAATGCTTCCAGCAAGGTCTTGGTATTCGCAAACTTCCACACTACAGAGAACAGATCTGCATCCATTGATGCGCTTCCGTGGGCCAGCGGCACTCGCTTGACGGATTGCATTGTGAGCCATGACCCAGCAGAAGTCATTGTTTCCTCGGGAAGCGTCTCCCTCTCACTGGGTCCATTGCAAGCTCTGGCTTTCGTTGAAAACGTGGCTGCAGTTCCTCCTTCGATTACCGAGGTCATGCCACGACATGGTTCCACAATTGACACCCAGGCGACCAACCTAACAATCACGCTGCGCTTTGATCGCACTGTTGACTCCTCCATGGTCTCCAACGTACTCCTCGACCAGACTTCGGGCGGGTTTACGTGCATGGGCGACACATGCACCCGAGAAATCGCCATGGCGTCTTTGGCAGATGGTCATCACACTCTGGAGGTTCGTGCGGGTTCAGCAACCACAGACGGAATGCAGCTCCATGCCTCCTTCGAGTCTGTCTTCTTGTTGGATCGACAGCAAGGTGCCATATCAAAGCCAATCCACGAGCAGCCAGGCCTCATTTGCAGCTTTGGGAGGGAGCTATGTCACAATGCCGTTGGGGCCACCCTGTATCGGGCTCAGAATGTGGGTGGGAACTGGTCGGAATGGATGCCATATGCTTCGACCACCGCCTGGCAAGCACAGCTGGACGTGCCAGTCCTTGTCCAATATTTTTCTCAACTCAGTGCAGGCTTCATTGTGGGTGACTGCCTGGCCTCCACGGGCAGACGTTGCCATGTGAGCTGGCATGACCGAATGTTCCTGCGCGGTGAATTGAACAACTGGGGCGGTTCGGACGAAGGGCACATGATGCTCATAAGTTCGTACACGTGGGCATCCAACATCACACTGAGCCAGTTTATCCGTGCCCGCTTTACTCCCACGAATGATTGGTCAAAGTCTTACGGAGCCCACCCTGTTCGGGAGCTCTTGTACAATGTTCCGACCTTCGATGAACGTCACAGAACCTTCGACATCGTGCCCACGAAGTCTGGTTCGGAGCCATGCCGAGAATGGATGGTCAATCGCAGCTTGTGGTCGGAACATGAGACCATAGCATCCGGCGCGGAATTTGCCATTGATCTGTGGCTGAGTCCCTTCTGTACGGCAGCCGCGCCGCAGTGCGAGCCAGATCCCGAGGCCAAGTGGCAATGTCACTCGTATCAGACCGGCCAGGACGCTGCGTGGTGTGCTTCAGTTGGGTCGGAAGGCTGCTTCGAGTACAGCACGAATGACCAAAGTGAAGAGATGAGCTCGTGCGGCCCCTGCTACTGCTGCAAACGGAAAGTGTCAGCTGCCCAGTCGGCTCCAGAAGCTTCGCCGCAGCTTAGTGCAACATCTGTCGGGGCAAAGTTTCCAGTGTCTGAAGCATGCTCAGCAGCTCAGCATGTTTCTGGCCATGCCCTCTCAACCTCACATGGTGAACGAGAGTTTCTGAACAAACTGGTTTTAGTTTTACTCGTTGCTCAGGACGTGTGCTTCATCGAACTGGTGCAACTAGAAAGAATCCATGATGCGATTGTATGTCAAGCTGAAGCATGGGTAAGTTGCTATACTGATGAACTGGTGGACCTCATGAAAACACGAAAACACCTCGGACCGACACTGACATAATTGGCCGGGAGTTGGCCAGTCTTGTTTCGATCTCACCACGAGGCTCCATCGGATGGCCGGTTGAAAAGCAAATGCTTTTAGACCTGTGCGACGAATAGAACCCCTGGAATACCGAGGAAGCTACTTGCTGCATCAAGTTCAATGACCTGTATTTGAACTACACGATCACCCCAGATCTTTCCCAATGCGCACCGGGTGAGCCTGTTGATCAGCCGGTGCTAGAAGCTTCCTTCATCGTTGCAGTGCAAATTGAAAACATGTCTGAGTTTGAACCTAAATCGAACGAGATTCATGGGAGCCTTATTGCTGGAGCATACGGCAGTGCAACTCCAAATGTCAGCATTGCAGCTTGACTGAATGAGCATGCTCGGCTGTGTCGGTTGACGTCTGTAGATAGATGTTTAGCTGCCGAAGTTCTGCACCTAAAGAGCAGGCAGATGTCGCCTACATGGTCAGTGCGGAGTTCGAGCTCCTGAACTGGACAGGTGCTTTGCAGGCACGAAGTGGTAGTAGCCTGCATTCATCTCTGAATGCATTGTTGACGCTCTTTTTCAGGACACTAGGCCGACACACTTCTGCGCTCGAGCGCCCTGCAGGCGGCTGCCACGGAGATCTGTGGCATCCTGACTATGCGCAATTCAACGTGCTCATCTTCAGGCCTTGGTGCAGTGCCCAAGATGATTTTCAACCCAAAGGGGGCGTGAAACGACGGCCTGTGCAGGTGCCGAAGTCATCCGGGCAGAGGCTCCATGCATGTTGTCGCCGACGACAGTTGACCGATTGAGCGAAAGCTGTCACACATGTCGTTTGCCAAGGCGTGTGTAGGTTTGATGCACAGGTTCGCACAGCTGAAGCAGATGATGCCGGCGCATTGCATGATCTGGCGAAAGACGCCCAGCACATGCAACACCTGCTTAGAAGCGGCTCTGATGCTGGAGGCAGCATGGCAGAAATGGAAGTTTCTGGTGATTTAGGCGTCACGCGTCCTTGCAAGCAAGCCTGCAGCAAAAGGCGTCACGTATGTTTGTTGAGTGTTGCAGGTGGTGTCATCTAAGCCTGGGGCTGGGAGACGGTCACCTTCCCCTGTAGAATCAGTTTGTGAGAGCCTAGCAGCAACCTAGGAATTCCATGTAAGTCTTCGTTGCCCGCCAAGGAAATGCTTCCCTGCGCTTGATCATGCCCCCTGTGCTGGAACTGCGGCTCTTGACAGATGTGGTCGCCTTTGCTTCCGACTGGCAGGCTCCTGATCTCGCTCCAAATGTTTCAGACCTGACACGTGAGTTCTCCAATGGATACTCTCGTGCCGTGGTGCTGTCTGTGTTGCCCTCGCCATTGGCGAGCACGACTACAACTACACTCGCACCTGCAACCAGCGCAGCTCCCAATGTCTCGACAACTAGCAGCACGGTCACAAGCTCGAGCTCCGCGGGCACAAATGACTGTGTTGAGTTGGCGGTGAAGAGTGCTGGCGCTCTGGACGGCAACCTTGCAGAGTTCTTCATCGATGGCGTGCAAGTAGAGATGACCCCGGGTCGAGGCTTGAGCGTTGTGGTCCTGGATGAACATGGCACGAGCGCATCGCAGTTGCATGTCTTCGACACGGGATTTCAAGCGGGTGGTTCGGCACCCCTGGCAACGCTGCTGAGCAGCCTCTCGGAAGGCGTCGGCGTAATGATTGCTGCCATGGATGATGCTTCGGACAACTTGACGCTTGCTGCCAGAAATGCGATCAAGCAGCTTGGGGCAACGCAGATAGACAATCTTGGCTACAGGGGGTCGTATGCATTGATTGGTGTTAAGGGCCGATCGGCTGTGGCCGAGAGGCTGGCGGCATCAGGCGAAGGCCATGTGCAGGTCAGCAGCAGAAATTCTTGGAAGCCAGCGTGTGCCGACACCACTTCATCTTTGGCAAATGCTGGTGATCCGATTGCATTGCGAGTTCGGAGTGCAGGCGCGGATGATGGGAATTTCGTTGAGTTCTATGTCAACGGCGCTCTTGTTGACGTGGTTGCTGGACGGGGCCTGACGGTAGTATCTATGCAAGATGGGCAAGTTGAGACGCATGTCTTCGACACGGGCTTCGAGGGCCTGGGCTCCGAGGGATTGGTCCGTTTTTTGCAAGGCTTACCGTACGGCACGCTTGTCATGGTGGCTGCTATGGATGATGCGACCGACAACCTAACAGCAGAGGCGAAAGCTGCTATCGAGGGCTTGGGCGCCAGCGAGATCAGAAGTCTGTCATACCGCGGGTCATATGCACTGATTGGTGTGCAAGGCGGCCTGGCACTTGCAGAGCGTGTTGCTGCTTCCGGAAGTGGTTCCGTCGAGATTGCGAGCACATGGATTCAAGGCTGCTTGGCTTCTAACTTCCACCAGTGAATGCTGTCAAGTGCGTCGCACATATGATGTTCAGAGTGGTCCGGTAGGCTCTGCGAGTGCTACGACTACGAGCTCCAGCCAACAAGACCAGTCAGAGACGACAACGGAGCCCGATGGATCAGGTCCTCCAGCATGCAATAATCATGCGAACAGCTTGTGGGATTCCATGTGTCGGATGACTGCAGGCTTGAGCTCATCGACTGGCTCTACCACGGCATCAGAAGTTGCTCCGACCACCCTGTCGCCCCTACCGACTCAAAATCCAGAGGTGGCGTGGCAGGGGGAAGCAATAAGGGCGGACCAGCATCACATGGATCTGTGTGTGTGTGTGGCCGAAATTAGGGATTGAGATGCTGCGGGGCAGAGCCATCAAGCTTTGGGCTGCAAGCCCAGTCCGATGCAGTGATGCCGAGGTCTCGTCTTCCACGGCAAGGAGCTGGGAACCTTGGACAAAGGGAAAAAGCAAGAAAGATGCAGACTGCAGAATCAGGCCGAGTGCCAGCCGAAAGCCTCTTCAACCGGCCCAGAAGCAAAAACAAATCCAAGTGCTGGCCCCACGTTTCTCCAAGGAATTCAATGAACAAGTTGATGCGTCTGACAGAACCGGGCAATCCGTTGTTGCCTTCCTTCTGCTTTGCGACTTGGCTTTCGACTTTTCTCGCCGCTTTTGAAGCTGGGGATGTTCGAAGTGAGTCGAGTGTGTGTCGCAGAATGGTCTGGCGTGCAGTCGAAGGATGGGTACTGATAGGTTTTCTCAATGTTTGCTCAGACCTTCCCCGCGATCAACCCACACCCAGCAGGTTCTTTTGCAATGATCCTTTCATCGTCTGACAGACGCGACTCATGATACATGGACATTAAGGCATGCTTAATGCTTGATGGCACTGGGTGACCCATGCCTGGCACATTTTTGGTTCGGCGCCTTTCTGCGATACAGGCTCGGACCTCTTTTAGAGTGGATGCGAGGAAACTTGTTTGCTTTGACCATCGTGCCTCCAGTCACGTTGACACAGCTCTGTAGGCTTTGCAGATGTGGCGCTGATGGAACATGGAGAAGATGATCTGCTTCTGGAATCTGGAATTCCAGAACAGGCCCTTTCTCGTTGCCATGGTTTGTGCCTGGCAAACTAGATTCAGCTAGAAGTTTTTCGCACTGATTCTGTGCCGCTTTGGCGCGGAGGTGTACAGGCGGGCAGATTGGTAATCGTAAGGATGCCTTGAAACGAGCTACAAATGCTTTGCAGGGCGCCATTCTGCGCGCGAGACCCGTTTGCTAACGATTGCCTGGAAAATTGTAAGGGGTTTAGTGAAGCTTCACGCATGCACTCACTGCTCACTGCTCTTGGTGCCTGCACCTGTCTACTTGCGCCCGCACTTGGCTACTTGCGACCTGATGACTGCAGCCAAGGTTGGCAGCTGATGGGATCGCCCCTCGTTGCCTTTTACCACTCGGCTTGACTCTGCCGGAACTCTTCTAGCTTGATCTAGAGCGTGCATTCCGCACGTCGCAGCTGAGTGTTCCCTGGAGCAGGAGCAGCCGCATGGTGTTATTGATTATTGCCAGCATGCTGCCGGTCTGTTTCTATATTTCTGCTCTGCGCCAGTGTCCAGCACCAGCACATGAGATCCACGTTTGTGCTGGAGATCGTCCCTCTGTTAAGAGATGCCAGCCGTGTCGCAAAAAGAGAGACTATCACAGAACATCACAGAGCTGCATGGAGTGATAATTTCTGTCTGCCAAAGTGGGATTGACGCAGTCGGAAGATGGCGTTCAACCCCGAGAAGTCGGAGCCCAGTAACGGTTACAGAAGGCACTTCTCTCAAGGGTTGTTGCGACACCGGCCGAGGCTTGGCCTTTGAGACGAGATGAAGCCCTGGCTTCCGCAAAGGCTGAGCCGCAGGCCGCAGGTTCCTTATGTCGCTCCAGCCACGTTTCCGGCGATGTGTAGAAAACGCAGAAGATGTGGTCCTACACATCGCGCTGTTTCCGCCGTACGAAATGTCACCGGCGATGTCTATACTCACTATAGTCTATGGCTTGTCCAGGTCTGTGGACCGCAAGCTCCAACGAAACCTCCAAAATTCCAAAAAAACATGGGGCTGTCCGGTCGTTTTCTTTCGCTGCCCTAAAACACCCAGGAAATCAACGTTTCTGCCGCAGGCGTGTGGTTCGAACCGAGGGGACATCCAGCAAAACAGGGCCCAACAAATTGCCTTACTCAAAAAGGAACAGGAAGCTGCACTGTGACGGACGCTAGACCAGCAGACCGTCAAAATTTCGTAGGTGTTTGCCGCCCCCTGCGGCCAGAGGTGTGCCGAGGTGGGCGGGCAGTCATGTAGCCGACGGTGCCGGCCCTTTAGAAGGCGAACTCCTCCCAACGGCGCTGTGCTGCTGTGCTTGTGCTGTCACGCCGGTCAGTGCAGAGAGTTGGGTTGTTGGTCGCCCTTCCATTTACTGGCAAACTTGCAAAGCATCTCTAGGCTCAAATTGGCAGTTGTCCTGCAGGCATGACAAGTCGCGAACGGTTTTTGAAACAGATCTCCATGCCTCAGGCCAGTCGATGCGTAGCGTCGTCAAGCGCATGCCTCATGGCAAGCTATGGCTTCTCCACCTCGTCGCTGGCGGGGGAAGGGCTTCCAAGGAGCTTCATCTCCGGGCTGCCATCTCGAGGTGATGCATCTGGGGGGCAGTTGACTTTTTTCAGGCAGCATACAGTATACAGTATACAGTATACATCATGCACACAAAGTTGGACTGTCGGCGCTTGCAACTTTGGAACGAAAGCTCAGGCAGCATTCAAAGACGAGCCAGGAAAAGGCGAGATTTTCTGCAAGAAACTACGAGAAGCGCTGGCTCCCTTTTCGGATCTCTGGCACTGATAAATGGTAGAACACTCTTCTTGTTGTGTCCATGTTACTGTAGCCAGAGTTAGCCAGAGTTCGCGAGAAGTATTGGGGTACATAACCTGATGCTGTGATACTTGCCGACAAGAACCTTCTGGCAGTACGAGCAGAAACTAACAGTAACTAGCATGCTAGAGAGTAACGACGACTGATTTGGGTGCAGAAGACCTCCGAATCGTCGGTGGTCGCACCGAGCCGGAGCACAGAATAGGAGCCAAGAAACGAAGCGATAAGCCTGAGTACAAGCTAGACAAGATGGACAGCTTCAAGGCAGGATGCCGCCGCCCCACTCCAAGATAAGCGGACAGACAAATGGCAATGTAGGAAACAGAAGAGGTGGGGGTGAAGCGTGGGGGGACGCCCTTCGGCGAAGCTGCTTCAGGAACCGAATGGAGCACCCAAAAGACTCCCTAGCAAGCAAATGGAATAGGAAGGACGTTCGAGCTACTCTGTTTGTTCCAAGGCCCACCCTAGGGGGGAGCCAAAGGGAAAACTTGTAAGAGATGCTTCTGAACAGAGTCCTGTACATACCTTCATCAATGAGGTTGGTGCTGCCAGCTTCATCCAGATCGATATAGCCAAGACATGCATGCCGGAGACTCGACCGTCGAGTGACATGACGGTAGTGCGGCCGTCTTGAGCAACTCAGGCCGGCAAGCAGCGTGGAACCTCGGTGCTCAAACCTTTGTCTGACCCGTATGTTTCGATCTCATTCAGGCGACAGAGAGGAAGGTTCTGAGAGTCGTTTCGTTTTGGAAAGCAACTACCGACAGAGAAGCCAAACAACGTTTTCCGTGCCTGCAGATGAGGACCAGCTATTTCAAGTCTTGAGAGACAGTTGTGCTCGAGTCGAACGGGTGAAAGCCTTTGACTGTGGGCTCGATGACGCTGCATCGAAGCAGTGGCAGCATTTCAGCCTTGTCACTTTCTCCAAGACCTGGCCGCCGTGCAAGTAAGGAGAGCGATTGCAGGCTGGATAGAAGCAATGCCACCTGACAACCTGCCCAGCGAGCTCCATTTATCGCACAACCGCATCACCCCGGATGGCTTTCATGGCTTGGTGCAGGCCATCGCCATTCGTCATCTCGAAGTAATGATGCCACAAGGGTACTTTGAGACGACAGTTGCAATGCACAGTTGAGCAGGCAGGTAGCGCCGCATCCAAGGAAAACAAATGGGCACGGCTGACGCAGAAGAAGCCACCGGTCTGGCTGCGCGTGGAAGGGAATGCGATAGATGATGCCACGATCTGCGTACCGGACTGAGCTGTCAAACGAGCTGGAGTGGACTCTCGCTCTGCTTTGTGATTGCATCCGGTTGCCCTCTAATGAGGCCCTCGTCACGGGTGGGCGTGCTCTCCTAGCGCAGAGCCTGAAAGCTCCAGAGCGGCGGAGTGGGATGGTGGGAAACTTGGTCCGTATGGTGTCGCAGATGTCAGCCCGCTAGTCAACTAGTTGAAGTTGTATCTCGCCTCGTTGCAGGTGCCGCTGTCCTTTCCATCTTTTCACGGAAAGTCTCTGCAGTTCGCAGCCCGGTCTACCTGACATCCTTAAATCCATCCTTTCCATCTCTGGTGCAAACCAAGGCTTCAGGATGCACCATTCCAACTGAAGCCGTTCCAGCGCCAAAGCGACTTTCATTCATTTGCTGGCCCACAGCATTCGCCACAATTTCCTCCTGATCCCCCCTCGAGCTGGGACGTGGGCAGCACAGGGCCCACTCACACCTCAGCAATGCCCCCACCCCCGCCACCCCCGCCCAACCTGCCAGCCTTGCACAACCGTTTGCCGATGCAGCTTGAGCAACCGAGCTGGTCAGGTTGCCTGCAAAGCGGGAATCAGGCGCCAATGATGAATAGCCTGAATAGCCCTGTTCACAACATGCACACATTTGCGGCAAACCAGGCGCAATTCATGCCAGGGCCAGGTGTCCACGGCCACATGCCCAACAGTCAGGTCATGTTACCATCGAACCAGATGCTGAACAACATGCCCCACAACCCGATGGCAATGATGCAGCAGCATCATCAGCAGCGGCATCAAATGTCCAACCCATCACACAACTTTCCCGAACATCAGCAGTTTGGGAATTCAGGAAATCTGCCAGTTCTTCAAACTCAGGCTGGTTTCCCTGTACAGAGCCAGGTGCAAGGACAGATGCAGATGATGCACGCTATGCCGCACCATGTTGGTTGGCAGGCACCTGGTCTACTTCCAGGTGCAGGTTGTGCATCTAACGTGGGTGGGCACATGTTCCCCTGCCATGACAAGTTCTTGGAGGCACCGACAGAGGTGCAGCCGCAACCTGCGAGACCTTCGTTCTCCCAGGAAATGTCCAGAGAACGATCCCGGAGCCGGACCCGCCAGAATGCAGGCGAGAGCAAGCCACAGTCAGCGCAGACTCAGACAGGCGGGGAGCATGTTTAAAAGTGCGCGTGTGGATGCACAAGATGGGTGCATTCATCACAGTTCTCGCGCTAACAACTGGCACACTGCGAGAGCCCCTCTAGACTCTGGACTCTAATTAAGTGAAGTGAACCTGTGTGAACTCAGCCGATTCGCACTGTAGCAAGTGTGGGAAACTCTGGCGCGGGTAGTTAATTTTCGGATCTAGATTGGATGGTGCATGTCCCTCGTTTCAATCGGTGATCGGGGATGTTGGAGCATTTGCCCAACACTGAAGCGCAAAGACCGACGCAATCACAGCCAAAGTCGGCGTTGTGTGGCCAGAGCTTCACCAGTTTCTCGGTTCTGCTTTGTCATGAGCATGAAGGCCCGAAATCCAGCAAGATTTCAGCCGCTCTTGTGCCTGAGCCATGGTGGCGAAATGGAGAGACGGGCGAGTGCTGCTCGTACTGCACACGGCCTGCATATAGGCTTTGCACTCTCGATCATTTTACAGAAGGAGGCAGGAAGCTGTCAGGTGCTGTGTGTCTGGTTTCGAAACCAGGTTTACCAAGTATTCCGATTGCTCCTAATTTTGTTGGTGCAGCGATCCAGCCAGGCGGCACAGCAGCACGTCAGCACAGCAGCAGTAGCAGCAATAGCAGCAGGATTGATACCCGGAGTGGTCGCGCCAGTGATCATCATAGTCTTGAAGCGGGGTACTCTTGCCGAAAGAGCAGTAGCTAGTAATAGCATTGTAGGAACAGTAACAGTCGCAGGACGACAGGAGTAGGAGGAGTGGCAGTGGCAATGGGAGTTGGGTCGAGAAGTGTGGTCGTGTAGCAAACAAGGTGGGGGAAGTAGGAACTAGTGGCAGGTAGTAGTAGGTAGCAGGGGGTAGGTGATGGGAAGTAGGTGGTCGGCCGTAGGTAGTGGGGAGTAGGTGGTAGGTACTAGGTGGTTGTAGTAGTAGCAGTCGTAGTAGTAGGAGTAGTAGTAGCAGCAGTCGGAGTTGCAGTAAAAGTGGTAGGACCTGGTAGGAGCTGAGAAAGTCATGGAGTAGTAGGAACTGTAGGGGTAGTAGGAGCAGCAGGAGTGGCAGTGGCAGTGACAGTAGCAGTAGTGGTAGTAGTAGTGGTGGTGTATTAATTATTTTTATTGGTAGTAGTAGTAGCAGTAGTTGTAGTAGTAGTATTAGTAGTAGTAGTAGTAGTAGTAGTAGTAGTAGTAGTAGTAGTAGTATCTCTTTGCCGAAGGAATTTGGGGAGTGTGAGCCCGTGGTAGCCTAAGTGACCTGTCGCCTGCAGCGCGGAATCGCAAGAGTCCGACAAGTGGGAGCCAAAAAGTAGTAGTAGTAGTAGTAGTAGTAGTAGTAGTAGTAGTAGTAGTAGTAGTAGTAGTAGTAGTAGTAGTAGTAGTAGTAGTAGTAGTAGTAGTAGTAGTAGTATTATCTCTTTGCCGAAGGAATTTGGGGAGTGTGAGCCCGTGGTAGCCTAAGTGACCTGTCGCCTGCAGCGCGGAATCGCAAGAGTCCGACAAGTGGGAGCCAAAAAGTAGTAGTAGTAGTAGTAGTAGTAGTAGTAGTAGTAGTAGTAGTAGTAGTAGTAGTAGTAGTAGTAGTAGTAGTAGTAGTAGTAGTAGTAGTAGTAGTAGTAGTAGTAGTAGTAGTAGTAGTAGTAGTAGTAGTAGTAGTAGTAGTAGTAGTAGTAGTAGTAGTAGTAGTAGTAGTAGTAGTAGTAGTAGTAGTAGTAGTAGTAGTAGTAGTAGTAGTAGTAGTAGTAGTAGTAGTAGTAGTAGTAGTAGTAGTAGTAGTAGTAGTAGTAGTAGTAGTAGTAGTAGTAGTAGTAGTAGTAGTAGTAGTAGTAGTAGTAGTAGTAGTAGTAGTAGTAGTAGTAGCAGTAGCAGGAGCAGCAGCAGCAGTAGCAGCAGCAGCAGCAGGAGGAGGAGGAGTAGTAGTAGTGTCAATGGTGGTGGTAGTGGCGGTGGTGGCAGTGGTGGTAGTAGTGGTGGCACTAGTAGCATTAGCAGTTTAGCAGTAGCAGTAGCAGTCTCAGTAGCAGTCGCAATCGCAGTAGCAGCAGCAGCAGTAGCAGCAGCAGTAGCCGTAGCAGCAGTAGTGGCAGCAGCCGTAGCTGTAGCTGCTAGCTGTAGCTGTAGCAGGAGTGGTGGTAGCGGTAGCGGTAGCAGTAGTAGCAGCAGGATGGTGGTTGCACGGCTTTCTGCTTCAGGTGCTGAGTAAACTATTGATAGGTGACCTAGCAGTTTCCGCTTTGGATGTCACACGCTTCCGGGAAAATGCAGCTCGCAATTGCCAAATAAGAAACCTGAGCAAAATGCAGCTTATATCCTACTACTGTAAATCTCAATGAGCAACCAGAAGAGGACATGCTTGCATATTTCAGCGTGACCGTTTCGGTTTTGTGTGGATGGCAAGCTGCTTTGGAGACAGCAGAAGCTTAGTAAATAACATTTTGAATCAGATGTTTCCTCCGAGCTAAGTTTCCTCGCAAGAAGCTTCTCTAAACATCCAGGTTTTTCTGCTTCAACTATATTGTATGTAGAGTCAGATTTCTTTAGTTCTGCCTCAGGCAGGTACCTTCATAGAGAGGAGAAATAAGCAATATAAAGGTCAGAATATCGAAGAACCTATGTAAGGCCAATTTCATGTCTGTGCCGAACATTTCATAAAGAATTCCCTTAAAGTTCACCTGCAACAACAAGTTAGTGTTGACATCAAGCTCTAAATACTCAATACAGTGGATTGCTTCCCCATTGTTAGATCTCCTGGCGAATATTTCTTGCGGTTTAGGCAAATAGTTTTGTCCATGCGTTGGGATTTCATTAACAAGAAACTAGTTAGCAGAATTATCGAATTATCGACGTGCAACAGCGATCAAATCCATCAACAGCCCTGATTAATGCAGAGCTCGGATGCAGCAGTGTCGAGCGAGTAGAGAAAACAATACGATATGCGACAGCAACACAGCCAAACCCTTTGACGCAGGTGGATGGGGAAGCGGGCTTGCTCGACACAAGCACTGGAAGCGGGAATTGAAAGCCTTTCCCTCCAGGAGATGAGATCACTGCTGTGTGCAGGAGCTGTCTGGATGGCGGCATGTGCTCCAGTCTTTCAGGATCAAACAGCCACAGAGCTTGTTCATCAAAACGAAGAACCACCAGAAGTTGAAGATATCCTGGAGGAGACGGGGATCAGCAGGCTCCCTTGGCACCTCAACACGATTGGAGTATTTGTTGAGATCATGTTGGCACTGCCACTTCTGCATTTTTGCGCGCCGTGAAAGAGCGAGGTACGAAGAATTGATCAAGCAGGCGCCGAAGTGCGAGGCTGACTGCCTCGACTGGAAGGTCCCACTCATGGCATAAGGTTTTCTTGTTTGTATTTGACGAAGCAACCGTGCCAGAGAGCTTTGAGCCTCTGCATGTCGGCGACCTGCGAGGCCTGGGCAAATTGTGGCGCTGCTCTTTGGCACCTGGGCGAGAAGCGGCTCAGAAGAAGCTTAAGGCTTAAAGGCCGTCCTCAGCATGCCATGCAAGTGTGATCGGCCAAGGAAGGCCAGTTGGGACGCTCGGCAAATCTTTCCATGCTGTTCAGAACGTTGTTTTGCCGGGGAAAGAGAGGGAGTCGCCCAAGGACTGTTACAAGCATGCTGCTCATGCTCTTCAAGGTTTTCGTACTGAGTTGACGACGGAGAAGCTCCTGGCAGATCCAGTTGCGGCCGAGCTGCACCTCGGCTCCTTGCCAGAGACATCTGCATCCAACTCCTGCAGGTTGGCAAGTTCTTGAGTGCACTAGACCGTGACTTTCGAGCAGGGTGTTGGGAATCTGACGAGGCTCGCTTCGATGCATGTTGAATTGTCAGCTTTAAGCAGATCTGTGCCACAACCGCCGAAGCCACATGCTGCATCCTACAATCCCAGTTCGTGTCTACGAATCACGAATGAAATGTCCACAGTGGCAACCAGGCAGCAGACCTGGCGCTCTTTGCTGTCCTCGTACTGCGCGGCCGTGCAGCCGAAGTCTGCACGGAGATCTGGCATGAACGCGGCCTGCTGCGAATCGTGGATGTCGTGCAGTGCGCTGTTTGGCTTCCTGACTGTTGCTGGGCAACTTGGTTGATGCATTGCCGAGGCCTTCCGAATCACTACTTTGCCGCTATGCAGGTTCTGGCCCTGGCGTTGTCCTTCCGCATGGGATGTCAGAGTGCATGGTATCGTTTCGATGCCAGGCTCTATGTAGAAGGCTCAGCACGCCCAGCCAACCTCTTCGGCAAGTGTGCCCGGATGACTCACGCAGCCTTGCTAGAGTGCGCGCTTTATGCGCGCCCTCTCTGCGGCTGATGTGGCAAGGTATGGATTTGATGAATGGAAACACACTTGCATTGCTTGTGGCACCCGATGGCCTCTTTGCGGGGACCGACTCCAAGCGAGCAAGGCTGCACGAGCGCGTTGCTGCCTCTCAGCTTTGTGTGGAGTGCTTTAAATTCTGCAGGAGTAACCCTCCAAGCTGCCCTCAAGAAAAAGCCTCGACTCGTCTGTCGTCCGGAGCGTTGTTCGAGCTTGAGGGCTTGCTGGTGATGTGTGGAGCTGCCTTAGGACTCATGCGTGCAATTGGATGTGGCAGAAGCTGATGGTTTCCTCAAACTGACGTTGTGCGAGAGACATGATCTTGCTGGGGGCCGTGGGCAAGGAGATCTTTGAGGTGAATGCAAGAAACAGCACAGGCCTGCAGGCCTGGAAGCCTTGGCATCGTGCGCACCGGGTCATCGGCATGACGAAGACGCGAGGCTCTTCGAAAAGACTCAGAGGATGCATACAGGCCATTTCTTGATGCAAGTATGACTGCCAGCAGCTGTCACGATACCTGTCACCAGACGGGGAGCGTGTAAGTCCATGTAAGTGACATGCAGCCGACATTATCACGCTTGCAAGACGACAGAGGCAAAATCAACAAACAGTACATCGTGCAGCCAAGCAGTGGGTACATGTCCATGCGCAGCGACATAAACGACATGGAATGACCGACAACACAGAGCAGCAGAAGTTTGTTGCTCCGGCGATGTCTTGGCATAGCTTTGCGCTCAGGCGCATTCCAGCTGTCAGGCCTGCCTTCACCTTTCGTCCTGTGACATAGCATCTTCAGTTGTCAATTCTCGCAGCTATTCGTTCGTTTGGCGGGTTGGTAACTTGAGAGGTTCAGAGTTGCCGCGAACCGAGTTCGCGCCTGCGCAGTGACGAGTCTGCAAGTGGTTCATCAACTTCGACTTGCTTCTGCAAGGTCTGACGAGTGAAGGGCTATGGACTTTGAGTTCGTTTGAGGTGTCATGTCGAACGGTTGTAACCCGTCGAGCTCCATACTTAGGTGCGAGAGGACCCGCACAAAAGGTGGCGGACCAGCACGGTCCAGCCCGAGCGAAGAGATGCGCAGGCGAGCAGTCCCACCAGAACTGACCCATGGCCCGCATGACTCCCGTAGCAAGCAGCACCAGGCTTGCGAATTCGACGCGGAAGCAGGCCCTGACTGTGAGCAGCTGCTCGGGCGCTGGCACTATGACGGGTCGACGCTTCACCAAATAAGAGCTGCTCAGTGCTTGGTGACCAAGCGGTCGTCACTTGGAGCGCCGGTTGCAGCTTGTTTTAAGGATGTCTTATGTGATATCGCCGCTGGGAGACAGCGCTTGCCGATTTGACGAATGGGCTTGGGCCTTCTTGCTGCTGCGTTGTTGAGTTCAGAAGCCGTCAGCGATAGCATCTTATGCCGAGATAAGCTGAGGACAGGCTCCTCGAATGCATCTGTGCAGTCTGGCAGTCTGTTGTCACCATCTCGTGGACTTCGTGGTTTGGGAAATGTAGCCTGTCGTGCAACCTCCGGTCCGGTCCGAGGAATAGAGGTATCCATCACCACGGCCGCTTGAAGCTATCGGACGGTTGGTTTCAGGGCGAACTCTTTAACCAGGACTGTTGAATATGCCAATAGACGACGATCTGCGTTAATCTGCTTTCGCTGGCTGACTATCACTGCATCGGCTGACCTGGGATTCTGAAGGAGCAATGCTTTGTGGGCTGCTTGCGCTCCATGGCAGCATCCATCAGCGCACCCATCGCACCCATGGCTCGCTCGTTGCCTCGGACATTCTCGCAGAGCCAATCACTGGACCAGGGCTGAGATACGATGCTCAGAGACAGGTCTTGATCTCCCAGTGCCGCTTGGCCAGTTGGGGGACGTGCTCTTGGAACCGTTTCAATGCATCTGCCCTTCGTCTGCTCAGTTCAGGTAGACCCCAGCACGGCGATTGGGGCCCTGAGACCACAGCTACATCCCACTCTTCGGAGCTCAACCAAAATGACGGTTCCATGATTGCAGAACACCGAATCTGTAGCCAGCTGACGCAGCCCCTGCCCATGTGAGCTGTGTGTATCTTCGGAGGCTTGTGTGTCCTGCCCGCACGAGGCAGTCTAACACGATATGTTGTTATGGCTACATTGCTTTGCACCGGTGGCCTGGCTTCAACTTTGCTGCTCTTGCCAGTGCTGCGGAGCCTCGACGACGCAGGCTTCGTGCTTTCACAAGATTTGACTTGGCGTAGCTCAATGCGCCCGCTGTTCGTGGCCGTCGGCCTGGAAGACGTTGCTGACGACATTGAGCGCTGGACCAAGGCCACCCCATGCCAGACGGCGTGTGCACTTGTTTCTGCTTCAGCCACTTCAGGACTGCTGGTCGACTGTGCCGCCTGGCTGCCTGAAGGAAGCAGATTCGGAACCATCTGCAAACATTTGCACTCAGCATGGAAACTTGGCAGGCGGAAGCTTTCAAGAGAAGTCAGCTAGGGCGCCGGCGATGCCACAGGAGTCGGCCAAGTGGCCACGTGTGCAGATCATCAAAATGAGTGAAGTCTGTTCATCATCTGTGTCAAGCTCCGTCTCTCATTCAGCGAAAGGAACGCGAATGAGCGTCTTCATGCGCTGTATGCAGATGCAACCTCCCACGCAGGTTGGTATCATAGCTGATGTCCGGATGGCTGTTCTCAAGGTGCGATGCAATGCAGGGTATGACGACGAAAGCACACGCAACAGATGCCTAGCGCCTAGCGGAGTCTAGCCCTAGGCTCGGCCTAGGCTTTGTCATCGGGCTTGCGGGGGCTGCTTTGCATTTTAGGGCTTCCGAAGTCGATGATAGCAAGCCTTGTCTGTTGTCGACATGTTGGCTCGAGGCCCTTTGCAAGGGTGAAGTGCTCGTTTGGGCATTTGTGTGTTAATTGTTTGGTGGCCAGCACAGCTCGGCCGTCATGGATCAGCAGGGTGCCATGAGCTCCCAGGATCAGCTGCTTTACTGGAATATGTGCAAATCGATTTTGTTGTAATTGCCGCAACACGCAGGAACGCATCATTGCTGATCAGTTTAGCAGTAGCTGCCGAGGCAAAACTTGGCAGCCATGATGCAACTGGCTTAAAAGCTGCCTGCTGCCTCTGGTTTAAGTGCCCCGTCTGATGTGCACAAGACTAGGTGGCAAATGTCGATGACATCTCCTATGCCGCCGGTTCCGGGTATGCCCAGTATGCCAATGCTGCTTGGCGGCAACTTCAACTGGATGCCCCTAGCCTTGTCTGGTGCACCAAGCTAGGTGGCCCAATCCGCCACCTATGGTTTCTCCTTGGTTGATGCTTGGTCGAGAGATTTGGTTGTTGATGCACCGAAGCGAGGGGTGGCAACCTCTGTCTCTGTTCGCCCTGAGGACCGTGAGGGTTGACGGCCTCAAGTTCGAGTATCAGCTAACCGAGGATGATGTTCGGAAGGTGGGCAGCCAGGTTTTGCGTAATGGAAGAGAAACATGGCAAGGCTGTGTTTCGGATGCTCGTGTAGAGGCAAAGGGTGCCTTCGTGTTTGTGGTGGTATAAATTTGAGCAGTAGAAGCATGTAGAAACCAGACATCTCCTTGTCTTGGTCACTGCAAGAATCGATGCATCTGAACAACTTAGGATCCGAAACAGTGCCATTAACTCCTGAACCACTTCCTAGGCGAGAGGTTGTGTTCTGCCAGCAACATTTCGTGTCATCCTCTAAGCCACTAAGCTCTTAATCTCGTTGAGCAATACTGATGGTGCGATTGGTCCCAGCATGGAACATCATGGGGCCATTGACTGTAGAACGGTCTCCTGTATTAAGCAATACTTTGCTTGTGGGTCCCGATCTTCGAAGCAGTGCATTACATCTATACAGGTCGGGTAGGGAAAGTTTTGATCGATGCTTCATGACGTGGTGTTTACGTCGCAGTCAGCGGAAGAAGAAGAGCCTCCACCAAGCTATCCGGCGGTTAAAGGTAGCACATTTTGGGCCAAGAGGCCGGGGCTGGGAGACGTGGGTTCTTTGAAGTTGGAGCCTGCTCAAGGCCGAGCACCCATGACCTCCGCCCACCCCTGTCGGTGCTCGCTCGGCTCGGTGGCCTGCTCAATCACACCCGCTGTGAAAAACTTTCGTTTGGATAGATGAGAAAAAATTGATTTTTTGGACACCTAATCCATGGATTGCGACAGCATCGGTGTCCAGCCTGAAACAACAGTGGCCAACATGTTCTGAGCCCCCGCTGGAAGAAACCGGAGCATGTCAGTGAACACTGGGAGCCATGGCTGCACGAGGTCTTTTCGCGCTATGGCGAAGTCGTCACGGTGAAGATGGACAGAGAGGGAACCACGTCGCAGGCCGAAGTCCCGACCGACCGCGAGAGCGCAGCGGAGTGGCGGGGCGCAGTTGAGAGTCGGAGGTGCAGTTCGCGCAGCCCCACCAAGCCATGGCCGCGCAGCACGACCTGGACAAGAAGCAGCTCCAAGGCCGAGACAGCAGCGAGAGCCAACAAAGCCAAAGCTTTTGAGAGAGAGGAAAGGCCGCGTCGCCGCGTCGCCCTCCTTCTCCTTTTTGTCCCTGAAGTCTTGCGGGCAGGCATGTCTGGAGCCTTTCTCACGGTGGAGTTTGCGTACCCTCAAGGAGCCACAAGACTTGCCGACCTTGGGCACCGTACCGTGCAGCTTTCGATGTTGAGGATACACCGCAGTTCCTCCCTCTGCCGATCCCGGCTTACTGCAGCACATGGCTGCGTCGTGCCCTGGCATCGTTACGAAAGGCCAGCATCAGCTAGTCTCGGGCCTCAGATGGGAATGCAGGTGCCTTCGAGGTGCAGGAATCAGTGCAGGGAAGGATTTACTGGTTTGACATAGCATATCATCGGCAACAACTGACACCTGTACTGTCATTTGGGCTGATGTGGGGTGCTGAGGGAGGCACAAGCAGGAAAGGCCTTTGAGCTGTTGCGGCCATCCTTCCTGAAGCAGCTTCGCAAGAATTTCGTTTTGCCTTTGCAGGAATCCGTTCATGAATCCAATGATGCCTGGCAGCGGACCAGGCCTCAGATGTGAAGAAACCGGTAAACGTACTGCCCAAGAATCAATCCCTCTGAGGCTACCCGGTGGCTCCTGCTCCAACGCCTTCAAGCCCCACCCCTTCTCCTGGAGGCGCATCTCCAGTTAGATTTGCAGCCTGACTGACTTTCAACCAGTCTAGCATCCACTGCGCTAGAAACGATAAGCAGGAACGGAGACCTAGAGTCTGAGTACGCGTTCACAAGCTAGTCCATTGGACAGTGATGGACAACTCTTCGTGCGGCTCTTGATGCCAGGCCAGCCAAAGAAGTTTACATGCAAACTGGAAGTGGGAATCGCCTCTTGGAGAAATGCCCCACGCGCTTGTAGCAATCTCAGAGCATCGCAGATACACCTGTGCCCCTCAAGGAAAACGAGGGTGAGTTCCGTGTGGGCAGCCGGGTCATCCAGATCGCACGTGCAATCTGGCAGGACAAATGCAAGTGAAGCCTGCGCTAGGCCACTCGGCCAGGCGTCAGCCTGCGAATTCTGTCAGGATCCCAAATTTCAAGAGCACGGAGGCAAGACACGACTCCGCGGAAAAGGCATCGGTGGTCCACATGAAGGGGACGAACCTTGGCATTGCTCTCCAGAGTCTGTTTTTCGAAAGCCTTCGGGCCCCAACTGCGAAATGCTGCGAACTCACCTCAGGAACCACTGGCACTCTGTATATCTTGCCGAGACCAAACCGCATTTGACAAGGCCCGTGACGGGCAGAGTGCAGGTGGAGAGGCCGACCCTGTGCAACCAGAGCCGAAGCAATCCTGTCAATGTCCACCCTGACCGGCACGGCCCATGTCGCTACTGTAGGCATTGCCAGAAATTTGGCTCCAGGCTGTCCAGTATGCCGAGACACAGCTGCAGAAGGTGCATTCGGACTACAAGGCCACCACCTGATAGAAACCTGGACTTCGGCGCCCTGTGAATCACAAAGCCTGACTCTCCTTCGAGGCGTTTTGTCAACAGCACGGCAAACCCGTGCCGGATTTGGAGGTCAAGATATCGAAGAAAGGCCAGCCATGCAGTTGGACATCTCTGAACACTCCGACTCCGTGCTAGAGTCTGCGAGCGCTGCCAAGGCACATTCGGACCAGAGGTCACCAAAAGCGTCCAGCCGATGCCTGGTTCTCGGGAGAGCGAGGGAGCCACCTCAGACTCCTCACAGTCTGACCGAGATATCCCCTGAAACCTGCCCAGCTCCAGGAATCGCGGCGAACGTCCGGCTGGAGCCCCTACAGACGAGGAGATTGAGCGCCTGATAGAAGAGCGTTTTTTGGCTTTACAAGATATGCCAGCCGTACATCTATCCAGAAGGCATCACGAGAGTCGGGGCATCGGAGTGGCCTGATCTTTCAGGTAATGATGCTCGGAAGGCAGCCAATTTCAAGAAAGCTGATGAAGTCCGCGAGCACCTCAAGTCACGAGGACTAAGCTTCGATTCGGTTTCCGGCCAGGCAGCAAGTGGATATTTGACTTCAATGCCTTGCATGCTGTTCAGGAGTCGTGCTCATGGACGAGAAAGGGGCGAAAGGAACCTTCAAAGGTTGGGCAGATGGAGCGGGGGGGGGGGGGACCTCAAAGGGATGCTCCACCTCTATCCCGAACGTGATGTCACATGCATTCAGGCAGCGAAGTGACGAAATGGCGATTTTGGCGCCCTTAGGCTGCCGGAGATGTGGGGTGGACAAAGATCGGAGATCCGCCTTTGTCTTTGATATTCGCTGACTTTTGGTGACCAGGGCCAAGATACGCATAGCCCTAAGACAGCAGCATGCCGTCTTTTCGTGTGTCTTTTTTCAAGCTTCCGAAGTCTTCAAACGACCTGCAGAAGCAGTCTCTGGGACTTCATGTAGGACTCGAAGAACTCATTTATGCAGTGGTGCGGTTTTGGGGTCGTCATGTCTGCTTCTGCTTTACCGATTTCTCAACCGACGTTCTTTTCAGCACTTGGGATTCAGGACCGGGAAACCTGTTATGACCCTGTTATGCTCAGAAACGACTGTTGAGATAGCATTTAGGAGGCCGGCCTGTATCCGTGTACGCTCCGTGTCCGTCCCAAGATGGACCGCACAGAGCGATGGCCAATGGTGCTGGTTGCAATGCGAGTCAGGACAGACTCTTTAACAGTGTTCAGTTTTGCCGAGTTTTTGCAGACCTCTCTGATAGTTGCGAGCAACTCACTGAGATGCTCCTCCAGTGGACAAGCAATGAGCCCGCAATGTGAAGCCATAGTTGCGCGAGAACGGAGCCACTGCGGCCATAGTTTTGGCGCAGCTTCTTATTGAAGTCACGGCAGTTTGTCCACGTTCAGAAGTGCATGGTGCAAGTGAGTGCATGGTGCAAGTTGAATGAAGGGAACACAAGACACCTTGATGCGAGAGGTGCGTTGCAGCGCTTGTATGATGTAAGTCGCACCGAGAAGATCACGAACAAAGATGACTCAGTCTTGCCGTGTTTTGCAAGCGCTGGCGTGTACAGTGCATGTGCAAGATTGAGCGCGCATGGCCGTCGCTTTTGACGGCGTGTACAATTGGGGCATGAAGTGCAGCCCATGCGCTCTCAGCAGCATGGCATGTCAGTATGGAGGATGAGAAGTTTTGACTGCAAGGAGCACTGCAGTGCTCACGTCCAGGATTTCCTTCACCTTCATTTCAGACAGAGAGCATGGAGAAGGCAAGAAAGCCTCTTCCCACGAAGATGCGTGTCATATCAGTCTTTCCCAGCGCAGCCCCAAGTGATGGGCCATCGCTATCCGGGTCGACCGGGCTCGGATTGCGGAGTGTACATGAAGGTTGGCACCGGCCGTATGAGCTAAGCTCCACGCACATTGTAAACTCTAGATGCTTCATGCGGGATGGCGCGTATGCAAAGCAGAAAAGCCTGCCCTTCCATGCGACAGCAAACAAGCTGCATATCTTTCCTGAGCCTGCACCGAATAAGTTTCCTGGAGGAAAAAGTGTTCGGCAGTCGTCTCCGTGGCCTACATCGTCGCCGCATGTGTTTGCACCTGAGACCGAAGCATTCCCTGCAAGCACGGTCCCACCTGTGATCACTAAGCACGAACTGCCTGCGGAACCTTGTCGCCTCTCAGGTTGCACATGGCTTCGAAGTATTTTCCGAGCAGCAACTTCTTGTTCTCAACGACCCCACTCGGGTGGCACGGGCAGTTCTTGTTTGCATTTTTGACATTGCTTCGTTTGTTAGAGGTGTGGCCGAGTGCTTGCTTGGCAGAGAGTGTGCCGAGAGTGGCCATGACGCGATTGTACTGATGTTTGCACGACGATAGCCGATAGCGAGGAAGAAAATGATGTTTATGCTGCGACTAATGGTCACGGCATGATTATGGCAGTGTTGATTGGGCTGAGAATTTTGCAGGTAATTGACTTCAACAACTCGGAGTATGGCTCCACCCACGTGGACGATTATTGGGCCCAGAACCTGGAGTTAGATCATCAGGTGACTGAAGACTTTGACCAGTGACTTCAGACAAATCACGGTTCACGTGCCTCACAGTTCCTGCGGTTTCGCAACACTGCCACAAGCGGACCAGGCGAAAATCGACCTCAACTACAGCCCGTTGGAAGGCCGCAGAGTCGGCAAGATGAATTACGATGGTGAGGGAGTCCGTGCGAGTGCACGGAGGACATAGTCTGACACACATGTAAGTTGCAGCTGGCCAGCATCTCCCAAAATCTGCCTAAGAAACGTCTGTGCTTCTGGTGACTCTCTTACGAGCTCCAAGGGACCACTAGCAAACCGCACTAAGGCCCTCGGAATTCTTTGTGACTGTCTGTGCATGAGCAGATTTGACAAATCTATACACAGACACGAAAGACTTGTCTCGAACAATGGCGTGTGAAATCCTGGCGTCTCAGACTCTGCCGCTGCATTCCTTGTCTCTCTCGTCTCTTGCTGTCTCTCGCCTCTCTTCCCCTCGCTGCCACTTGCGTGCTCTGCTTTACTTCGACACTCCTTTCGTGCAGGCTGGAACCTGTTCCGGCATGTGCGCATCGGATGCTTCCTGGTGCAGTGGGCCGGCACCCCAGCATGCCGTGGCTCACTGCCTTGAGTCAGCCGGAAGAAGATACATCATGAGTGCCTTCGTACTCCTTGTGTAGACGTCTTGACATATTTTTCGGCATATACATGGCAGACGAAGTGGTGACTCGATGGAGCGAGGGAGTAACCGGGCATGTTCGTAGCACCGGTGGGGAAAGCGTGGCTCTTTCCTGCTTCCGATGGATTATGGTGGGTTTGCCTGCTCTCCGCACATGAAATTGGTTTGCTGGCTTTTGTCTTTGACCGTCTCTTGCTTGGCATCCCAGAAAGGGCAGACTTGCGAATAATTTGTTGTTGCATTCTGCCGTGACCTTTACTCTACATTAATGCCGAAGTCATCTCCCCACACGTGTGGCCTTGTCAGCTGACCTGACTGTGGCTTCAGAGCTTCATGGTGTTCCCTAGATTCACGGCGCTGCTTGTACATAGCATTGCCGAATTTGTCCCGCCCAAGGAAAGTGCACTAGCATATGCCGAGCGTGGACCCGCCGAAGTTTCAAAGCGCTGTTGGCTGCTGGACTTTCGTGCAGCCGAGTAACGATCCTGTGATATCCTGTGCGCTGCTCTTCCAGACTGTGCCAGGTGTCGGCGAGACGCTGACCGCAACGGAGTGTGTGCAGTTCTGCAACAGGACCCAGGCCCGCCGCCGTACAAGCTTGGCCGACGTGGACTACCTGTGACATAGTGTGACTCTTGACCATTGGCTTGGCGTCATGCCACGAATTTCTGCTGAGGCATATCTTCGGCTACCCTTGTGCCGCTGTGGTTTAGATGAGACTGCGCTGCCAATGATCGAGGCTAGATGACACTCGAGTTTCTTAGCTCTGGGCGGAAGCTAGAGAGCTGCACCCAGTATGCCGCGGGAAGCCACAATGCTGGAGCAGGTGCAGGGTGAGTGCACGCCAACATCTTGGGAGGCGACCAAGCTTCTGCTTGCAAATCTTTTCGTAAGTGCACAGAAGTTTCCAAGGTGTACAGGGAGTTTGACTACCGGTCGTCCATGTCGCGGCGCGCTCGGTGGCTCTAACTTCTTCGTGGCGAGACGAGTTTCTGTTTTGGTGCTGTGTTGCCTGAATCCTCTCCTGAGTTGCTCGAGCGCGAATGCCAAGAACTTCTTCGTGACGCATTCCTTTCGCGGTCTTCGCATGACGTGAGCTGAGGCCGTCCACTTACGACGTCACCCGCCGGCTTCTCTACTCCATCGTCACGGCTTGGACCTCAGTCACGGCGGAGAGGCAGAAGACGGGAGTGGCCACGAAGCCTTGAGCATTCCACCCGCCCCTCCGTGCTCCGTGCATTGCTGTTTGGAAGGATGTCACATCCCGGGGTGGGGTAGGGGATGGTTGGGGCGCGGGTGCAGCACTACTGGTGGGAAGAAATGAAGGGGGAGAGTCCTCTCGACTGGACCCTGCATTGCTTCTACGCTGGGGTGTTGTCTATCGATGGTGGCTGCAGCTCGGGGATAGCGAGGGGGCCGGGATCAGCTTCCAGAATCCTTTGGTGGAAAGAAGCAAGGCGGAGAGTATCTTTCGGAGGAAGGATCAGATGAGTCACTCCGAGCAAAGATGACTCTAAGTGAACGACAAGGCAGAAGTAGTGGGAAAATGCCTGGCACTTAGCGGTCATGTGCAGGGTGGGGTCACCGGATAAACCCGCGCGGGCTACACCCATGGTCTTCGGTTCATGGTGCAAGTTGTCGGTCTTTGCGTTCGTTCCAAGACGAAAATGTACCCCACCCCGCCTCCCACCACGCTGTGAGTTATAACGATCGAACGAGTGGACCAATCATTCCGAAGCTGCAAAGAAGAAAGAGAGAGGTGCACCACACGTGAAGCAAAAGCTCATACGTTGGCTGGGCGCAGCGTGCACACACTGAAGAAGACTTCGCTGCAGATACGGCTGCCATCGCCGGCCGATCCTCCTCTTCGGCGCTTGCCTTATCCTATCCATGGCCTGACGATGTCAGTAACAAGGCCCTGCGGAGTTGATTCTCCTGCAAGACCACCGAGGAACTACATTCATGCCGTGAATCCTTTGGAGGTGCATGCTGTCTTTTGCTGCATTCGCCAGGGGCTAGCTTGGAACACCTCTTCCGTTTTGAAATGAGATGTAAGCCTGAATGGCCTTGTCAGTCCCGCCCGCAATTCGATTACGACACCCGTCTCGAGTGTACGGCTCAGCTCGGTGTTGCTGGGGGAAGGTGATGTTGTATGCTGGACATGTCTTGTTTGCCGCTGTTCTGGAACTGTCGCCAAGTCGCATGGTCTTCAATGCCGTTTGGGACTTTGGGAAGAGTCGCATGGCCTCAGCCTCATCATGACAATCCCTGAAGCACTGAGTCAGTGGAAACTCTTTGGGCCGGCTGGAATCGAAGCTGGATGCTAACCACCGGCAGGTGGCATTGTCTTTGTCTGACTGGGGCGGAACTTTAGACCTGACGGTGGCACTTTGGCAGCAGCAAGAGGGGGATGTTCAGTTGTGTCACCAAACTGGAAATCTTTGAAGCCAAGGTTACCTTCAACTCCAGTGTTGGCCCAGGAGTTTTTTCCGAAGTCGAAATATTTCCCGAGCACTGCAGACGAAGATCTCGATTGAGCTCAGGCATCTCCGGACTTGAAGTGCGACAGAGCCATTTTCCGATTGAGGCATGTCCTGCCGTGATCGGGAAGCGTCCAGTGCTTCGAATCCTGTTGCAGGACCAAATCGTGGCGAACGGTGAGCTCGTCCGTGACGGGCTGGTGCGGTAGCCTGGTCATCTGATCACAGCATCTCAGCACCGAATTTGCTGGCAGGCATCGGTTGAGGGACTGGGCACAGTGGACATCTTGTTTGGCACGTACTACACGGTGGGCGCCTGTGCTCCGATCTCCGCAGTTCCAGCCCTCATGCTGGACTTGTGTCCCACTGAGGTGGTTCCAGCAGCTTGGTCTTCCTCCACACAGGCCGCTTTCTTGATGCACTTAAGTCTTCTGGTCCGAGCTTGCATACCGAGGTCGTGCATGTTGTCGTTGCCATTGACATAGACATGAAGCGTGTCCTGACGAGTCGCTGCCCCAAATTCGCAGCAGGTTCTGAGTGTTTGCAGTGCATATTGCGAGCATGCAGCTCAGTTGTCATGTCAAGGTGTGGTGATGCCAGTGACGTTGATGAATCTTCAGATGAATTCCCTTACGCACCAGTTGTACGGTGCAGGCTGGGCGTTGACATGTGGCCACCAGTGCGTTTCGTTGAATTTGTTCAGGGTTCCAGCTCGGTGCAAGGTGCGGACTTGAATGACCAGTATGCCTACTATCATTTGTGCGAGAGTCTCAGGAACAGCGACGGGAGCGTGGTGAAGTGTGGGGATAGCTCGGTCATGCTCACAAGGTACAGCTGCCAACTTGACACAGACCGTTGGTGGAGTTACGACTGTTCAAGTCTTCGTTAGTCGGCATCTCATGTTGTCTGCATCAAGCCGGGGCAATTGTGTGAACGAGCGTTTAGCGCCTGAGCGGTCTCGGCAGCAGGTTGCACGTTGGCAGAGCTGGGAGGCTTGCCTTCAGAGGTGCGTTAGTCGGTGCCAGGTGTCCACCAAGCCATTGCCGGCTTGCCCATGTGCTGAGGTCAACTACATGTACCTGCAGTCGGCTGCCATTGATCACCAGTTCAACTATGCTGCCAGCCTCAGGGATGTTTCGAAGCCGGCACCATGTTATACTGCCTGTGGCTAAGTGCTGCGATCGTTTGAGGCTTGGTTCACTTTCAAGGAGGAGCCGACAGGTACTCCAAGGATCTTGGAGTACCAGCATGACAGCCACGAGCTCGTGATTCAGAGTAGTTTTGGTTCAGTGCTGATGCAAACGGCTTAGGCAAAGACTATGTGCTTTGGCCACAGGACTCAAGTCTTTGCAAACCCCTTTCGGAAGTATGATGTTGTCACGAATGTCGATGAGAATTGCAGCGATGGATGAAAAGTTTGCCTGCGAGGAAACGCTGCCCGACAATGCTGTCTTTTCCTCGCTGATCCAGACTGCTCCGAGGACTCGCTGCTTCGTGGGTGCAACTTGAAGCATCTTCTCCAGGATGTGCAAGTAGCGTTGCAAGGATCATTTTCGCGCTGTACCCTCCGGCTCTGCAGTATGCTAGGTATGGCTTTCAGAGTGATGAGACAGGTGTCGACACATGGAGCCCGACCTTGACCTGCAAGGTTCAATACCGCTGGCACAAAGCTCTTCTTATCTTTCGATGCTGCTACGTTGCGTGGGTGCCTGAGGTTCTGTAATAGCGGGTCAAGCAAAATCGGCAACACATCAGGTGGTGCTGTCCCCATCGACACAAATGGAGACGACATACCCGATTTCTACAACGAGGCTGACAAGGCCCACTGTCTTTGCGCGTCGCAGACCTCTCGTGACAGTGGTATAGGGACAAAGTTGTTTAGAACTCTCGCATGGTTCCCTGGCATACTTGTGGTGCAGATCAAGCCGCAAGCACTGCTGGACACTTCTCCTAGTGTCTTTTGCAAGAGCTCAACTGCTGCTTCGCTGAAGGCTACGCGGGGACCTTGCGAGGATTTCATCGACCGGTTTACCATGATACTGATCCCGGGGAGCATGTGCTGTCCCCAAATCAAAGCATCCTTGTGCTTTTGATCAGCAGGCGCATTTGCAGTGATTTGTCGGAGGTGCCAATGGACCACAGATGCGGACTTCTATGTTGAGATTCAACCTGCGCGCATGACCCGGGAGAAGTCAGAAGGGGCTGGCTTTCTTTTCTAGAGGCTGAGGCTTCAGCTCTGTAGCCCAAGGTCTACGATTGCTCCAGGAGATCTTGCACGGATCAAGCCAGGGACCGCTCAAGCCCCAGCCTGTTCATAGCAGAACAGCAGGGTGCACACGACCATACACGAATGGCATGCATACCATCCATACTCGTACCAGGTTTACAGAGGGCAGGAAGCCCGTGCTGGAGTTCGAATCTTAGTAATGCAGCAGACCCTCGGTTCCCAGATCATTTTCAGTTTTTCAAGCTGCGAATGGCCAAGTTGTACCAGTTCTCACAGCCATCATCAGACTTCGCAGTTGTTCCGCCCCCAGCTTTCTGCTTCAGTCAAATGTTCGCGCACTTCGTCGACAAGTTTCGCTTATAGCACTCACGTCAGGTGGAAGCTCCCTTGGACATCCCAACTCCGAGGGCTGCCGCCTTTGCTTCCAACTTTCTTGCAGTTCGCCATGAAGATGGGCTTGCAGCATCTTGCATCTGCAGGCAGAAGTTGGTGGCTTAGCATACATCGACGTGTTCGAAGCTCAGAGCGCAACACTGCGTGAGAGGCGCCGGTCCTCGCATCTGCACCTGTGCTGTGTTGAGGTGCACTGAGCTTGTGCTCGACGGCACGCAATCGCGTGATCACGGCTCGCCAAGTCAGTGCCGGACCGGGAGCTTCCGGAATGCCATTTCCCCGTTCAGGCTTTCGCGGTGCCTTCACGTGGGCCCTGAGCTCGACAACGCCGGAAAAGTCGTATCCCGAGCTTCGAATGGGATTGAGCAATGGTTGTGGACAACAAGAGGATGAAGGATTCTCTTCACGTGAAGTTTCAAATCTCGATCAGAAACACTTGGCCGCCTTTATCAACTCAAGTGGCCGGTGCCCATTGCCTTTCGGGTACCACAGCCTCAACGATATGAGATGTCCAAAGCTGGGCAAGCTGAACCCAACCCGATTCTCGAAGGTGGATAGGATGCTCACTAAAACCACGGTCCAGATCCAGAATAAGTATCCATACATACATTTTTGCTTTGCTTTGCATGCGGTCAGAGGTCCCAAAATGACTGCGGGGCTTTCGAGGCAGGCTCATGTCCTTTGAGGATGAGCAGCCATGCTGCCTTCAGCGCTTCGGGGACAACGTCCCACAAATGGTTGCGCACGGCTAAACGTCCACCGCTTTGACACTGCCTCACAGTTCAGCTTCCCAATTATCGGGCAGATCAATGACATCACAGGACGGGTCACGTGCTTTCGTCTGGTGGCACACCATACGGCATCCCAATCGACCTTCTCGATCTCAGCGGCGAGGTCATTGAACGAGGTTGCAGATGCATTATCGCGGTCTGCAATCCCCTCTCCGGCGCAGTCAGTTGTCAGTAGGGTTCCTAGCGGTTCCGTAGCAGCCATCAGCAGCCCGCCCGCCCAGTAGTCGGTGAGGAGCGCCTCCTGGACCTCTAGATCCACCCTCCAACAGCGCCAAGACCTTTTTTACTTATCTCGTAGAGGGGGTAGCCTTCAAGGACGGGCTTGATGAGCAGGATCACCTCTTCAACTGTTTCCGGAAGGCTCTGTGAGAGCGGCTTGTCGCATAGCTCTTGATGTGCCTTTCGTGGCACGTCACGTCGTCCATTGCACCATCCTCTCGCGATTCCACCGTCGTTGGGGCATGCTTGGCCGGGATCGCCGGGTGGAACTGCTCCGTGGCATTCTTCCTCCATCCCCGGCTTCTAATGCCAGGGGCAATGGTGTCCATGGGTCCATAATGCACTAGCACAATCTGGGCTGTCCCTGAAATGCCTCGAAAGCCTGTTGGTCCCCCAAATTGAGCTTCTGTTCCAGATACCACGGCTCCGTACCGAGCCCTTCGGCCGTGGCTTTTGAAAAAGTGGTCCCCGAGGCCCCTTTTTGACCGGAACACCTGCTTGCAGGGCCTACAAATCCAGGCCGTGACTGTTCGCTGGCTCTCCAAACCCAGCTCGCCAGCGGTCTTCTTGTAGATCGCCCAGACTGCGGCAATGATGGCTTGCTTCCTCTGAAAAGCCACAAAGTCGTTGCTCCCAGGCGGTTTTCTGGGTGAAAAGGGCGAGCCACTCCGGCCAGGCTGCTCCCTCAACACTTGGCCAGGCACATTTTTGGTCCGCCGCGAGCCATCGCAGATCATCGCGGATGATTTCGAACCATATCTGCTCCTCTTGTAGCGTGGCCCACAAGGCAGCTGGTCCAGCCCGGCACATTGAAGCTAGAAGGCTCAATCGTGCCTTCCACGCTATCGATTCCACGGGCGGGCAGCCTGTGACTACATGCGCGACTGAAGGAGGCCGGCGGAAGAGCTCGTCGCCCTTCAAGGTCCGGCTTAGTTAGAAGCTTCCGGACTAGTCTCTTGTTCTTGGCTCGGACGCGTTGTTCTTGTACCCTCCACATACCATGGCCTAGCCCTTTCCATTCGGCACCCATATAGGCCAAGATTGTGGTACGTGGAGGTCACCGCAGTTTGCAAGACAGGCGCGCACCTCCAATGGAAAGTAAGAGTTCAGGTGGAGGAGTTGTTTGACCTTGTCAAAAGCCTGCATGGCCATGGATAACTTCCTTCGCGCCTCCGCAGCCATGGTTGACCTGCTATCCAAGAGCCCTCACATGCTTGTACTGGTTCGTGACCGGGAGGTGGATGTTGAGGTCCTCAAGGTACATCGAGACCTTACCGTGGCCAAAGAACTCCACGGCCGCTATGTTCGATCCTTTGCCACGCAGCACGCATAGCAGCGCCGTTTTGTTTCTGCTCCCATGGCTCATGCACTGGCTCCGGACCAGTGAAGCATGCAGAAGAGCACGCGGCTGACGTCCCACAAATGGCGCCAGGCGCTGTCGTCCGCCCATGTTGCGTCTTGTCCGGTGACTGGTTGCCCCCCCTTTTTTCCTGCAGCCGCAAATGGGCCAAACGTGGCGTCCTGGTACATCTCAGGCAGTAGATCCTCGCCTCGAGCACACTCCGCGATTTTCGCCGACGCTCTGGCATAGATGAAGCTGACGGTAACCACTCCATTTTCCCATACGGCGTGCTCGTAGTTCTTTGTGGTCTGGAGATCAGCTCTTGCCGGTGGCACACACCTTGCACGGGCGTGCTTGATCCTCCTTCAAGCGTGGCCCGCTGTCGTCTTTGGGCACGATGCCAGTTGGGTGAAGACGGCGTGGTTCTAATGGCAGTGCAGCGTGCTGAAAGCACGGGGGATTTGCAATGCGGCCCTTTGCGGGGGGACGCTCGATCCAAACCCTACATACATACATACATACATACATACATACATACATAGTTACATACATACATACATACATACATAACTACATACATGCATACATACATACACACACACATATATATATATACATATCTACATATCTACATTTGCTTGTAAATACATACACACATATATTATATTATGTTATATTATATTATATTATACTATATTATATTATATTATATCATATTATATTATATTATATCATATTATATTATATTGTATTATATTGTATTATATTATATTATATTATATTATATTATATTATATTATATTATATTATAATATATTATATTATATTTTATTATAATATATTATATTATATTATATTATATTATATTATGTTATATTATATTATGTTATATTATATTATACTATATTATAATATATTATATTATATTATAGTATATTATATTATATACACATAATACACACACACACACACATATATATATATATATATATATATATATATATATATATATATAAGCGCTGTATATATAGGTGTATATGTACCGCAACAACCACCGCAGATGGCATCTGCAGACATAGGCAACGTGATGTGATAGGGCGGCCCGTATCCTATGCCTGCGGCCCTTGCGCGACAGATGAATCTGCAGCCTTTGCAGTAAACTGCGCTTTATGGAGTCCGGGCCTAGGTGATCCTGTCTTGTTGTCCATATGGTCTTTGCTCAAGTTTTGTTGTTACTTGGCCTAGGTCAACCGGATCACGATGGCCTTTGGGCTTTGCGCTTTTGCCTAGCTGCCTTGCTTCTGCCCTTGCCCTGCACTGTACTTGACCTTTGTACTGTGCTCGTACTGGCTGACCTTTGCACTTGCACTGCGTACTGTTTTTTGGACCCTGTCCTTGCACTGACTATCCTTACTCCTATGTTCTGCTAGCTCAGCGTCCTCTGCTGTTGCTTGGACAGGGGTAGGATCAAGAATCAAGTCTTTTGGGGCCTGCTTGAGACCCCCGCACCTGCTGTCGCACATCGACGATGTCGAAATTCCGGCACTGCTGGCTTTGGGGAGGGCTTTCTTTCTTAGTCGTTTCGACAAGGATTTCAGACCCAGACATGATTCAGGCTTCTGTGTTGATTGCCTGGCCTACACTAGGCGGAGATTTTCGTGGAGCGACACTTCGAGCGACTCTGGCCCGAAACTCCAAAGTATGTGAATATTCGTCCGTGGTCCTATGGCCTAAAGTCCTCGATGCCGAATGTAGCTGGCTTTAGCCACACTTCATGTCCACACATTCCTTGCCTTTTCTCAGTTTGTACTGTTTTTGCACACCCTGGTGCATCGTACTGTTTTTGCACACCCTGGTGCACTGTACATGAATAGATGGCGCCGCCTTGTGTTTGCTTTTGCTCTGGGAGCCCCAAACTGATGATGCTGGTTACTGCCTGCTACCTGATTGCTGTTCATGGATGGATGTATGCTGCTACACGAGGTGGTGCATGGGATGCTGTGCTCCCTCCACATGCACCACTGCTCTGCAGGATAAGGACGACGACGACTCCGTTTTGCTGACAGTGTATCCCCTCGTAAGGGCAATGAAGGTCTCAGCAAGCCTCGACAATGCCTTTCCATGTATGCACAGACAGGCTGAGATGTCGCCATGGCCGATGCGGTCTGTGCTGCACACGTGGTCTGTCTGGGAATTGCAACTGGCTGGGCGATGAGCCATGGCTGACGCGGGCGGTGCTGCTCCAGTGGTCTGTCGGGAACTGCAGCTGGCTGGGCGATGAGTCAGTTGCACATTCTTGAAATGGCACCCTGGCTGGCACTGCCCTGGTACCAAGAAGTGGCTCATGCGTATCCGGATTTCCAAACGCCTGACTGGTGTCGATGTCATCAGTAAGTACACCACGTACTCTGAGAGTGGCTTTGACCTACGTCTGGCACGCGAGTCGGACCTGTATACGAGCCGTATCTGTATGGGAATGAACGGCTACAGCTCTGCGTATAGAAAGGCTTGGGCTCGTATAGTCACTGGAAACCGCACTGGACGGGATGAACAGCTGTTCTGCGTGCATAACTGCGTGGGAAGCTGATTGGGGGGCGATTGCAATCACTGGAGCCGCGCTGCCTGCAACGAGCAACTGTGATGTGTGCAATGCTGCCTGAAAACTGTCTTGGATTGTGTTTGTGGATAAGCCACGTGCCATCCTAGTCCGAGGGATCTACAGTGGTGGCAGTCGAGCCAAATGCAAAACTAGTTCGAGAGGGAATTGCAGTGATGGCAGTCAAGTTCGTGGAGTGGGAGCAGTCTGCTAGCCCGTGGGAGTCCAATGGAGGCTTGCCACGACCAGTGCTCAGGCCAGTGCTAGAGGGGCACCGTTCAGATGTGGTCAAGAGGTAGACGCCTCGGAGAAACCAAACAGAAGCTTTGAGTATGCTAAGCGTGAAGACTGATTGTGACAGGTATTTCTAAGTTGCAGTCCTGGAAGCTGTAGTCCGTTGACGTATGTGGGGCCAATGTGCCTGTCTCTCTCTCCAGAAACATTGTGTTCACCCAACACCTCGCCCGAGAGCGAGTGCTAAAAATATGTATATGTATATGTCTATGTCTATGTCTATGTGTAGGTCTATGTGTATGTGTAGGTGTATGTGTAGGTGTAGGTGTAGCTGTATGTCTATGTCTATGTGTATGTCTATGTGTGTGTCTATGTGTGTGTCTGTGTCTATGTCTATGTCTATGTCTATGTCTATGTCTATGTCTATGTATATGTCTATGTCTATGTATATGTCTATGTATATGTCTATGTCTATGTCTATGTCTATGCCTATGTCTATGTCTATGTCTATGTCTATGTATATGTATATGTATGTGTATATGTATATGTCTTTGTATATGTATATGTATATGTATTTGTAGATGTATATGTCTATGTCTATGTATATGTCTATGTATATGTCTATGTATATGTATATGTATATGTATATGTATATGTATATGTCTTTGTATATGTATATGTATATGTATATGTATATGTATTTGTAGATGTATATGTCTATGTCTATGTATATGTCTATGTATATGTCTATGTATATGTATATGTCTATGTCTATGTATATGTCATGCGTGAAGAGATATATTTGTGTATATATATATAAATACACATATATAAAATCATGGGTTGTGTAGCGATTTAACGCATGACAGCGTGACGGTGCAAACGCAAAAAGACGCGAATCTGTTCTTAACAAGATTTCATGTTAAAGAAAGCCGGGGTCGTTACCTGTACCGGCTGCAGTGACGGTCTGCAGCATCGTTTAGCATTTTTGAAGCCCCTGGCAGGTGTTGTCAAAGGTTGTAGCATGCTCCAGCAAATTGCGGGGGCAGGGCTGAGGGGCTGAGGGAGGGTTGACTGCCGTCAAGTCATGCAAGTCTCTATCATAATACTCGCACCATGTTACTATGTATTGTGCCTGCGTAACCGTGTGATGCACAAAAACAAAACCAAGCACGACTGTGCTGACCGGGACGCACCAGCCCCTACGCAAGCACGACGGGCATCGAGAAGCAATGCAAGAACTGCTTGTTGTACCCGTTTTCATCCAAGGATCGAAGAAGGTTTTCAGCATGCAGACCATGTCCTCTACATGAAAGCGGCCACCCCTTCCAGTACCATGCTTGTCTTATAAACCACAAACGGCTCTCGCACTATGATCTATATACCACAACTCGGGGGCCATGTTTAATGTCGAAAAGGAGGAGCTGCCAGGCATGTCAAGCAAACTCAACTCAACGAGCCGAACTGCGCGCACAACTGCATTTAGATACTTTGGCTTTCGACCGGGCTGACGCTTAAACAAAAAAGGCAAGCTGAGATGCTTCCGTCATGTAGATGTAAATTTCGACAAAAGAAAGTTGAAGCTTCGAAACATTGCGTGCCCGCCAGATGCTAGCCAAGCAATTCTGGAGATTCGACGAGGAACCAAAACATGATTCGCAACTCTTTCCGTTGATACGTGGATACCGAGTAGGAGAGATCGTCATGGCGATCGCTTAGTTCAATTTACACCGCATCTCATTTCGCTGGCACTGGGGTCTCTACCCCGATACACTGCGTTGCCGCGGTCTTGTTCCGTTGTGATCATGGAGCATCATGGAGCCACGCGAGTGGGAAGGGAAGGTAGTTGGCATACCTTTGCGTGGGGAATTCACAGCTGTCGGGTCTTGCCGAGATTTCAGCCAAGGCCAGAACCTCACATACGCCAGCTTCAGAAGATCGTGGAATCGGCGATGGCCGCCGAAGCCCCTGCTGGTTCCCCAGATTGTCAGTGCCAAGGGGGGCCCTAATTGGCAATCTGGCAGTGATTCAGAGCAGACAAATGGAAGCTCCATGATCTATGATGCCGGTAGCATGCCGCCAGGTGGCAGCACAGGTTATTCGAATTCCACCATATCTCATGCAGGGCAACACACTGTGCGCCTCCGGTCTACATGTGCTGAGTGTGGAGGAAGTCCGGTGGGTTTTGCTAGGTACAACTTTTCGCTCACGGCTTGAGACTCAACGAACGAGCCGTTGCCAGACTTTGGTACGTTAGTCTCAGTTTTCTTAGTTTGGCTGGAAACAGGTGCAATCCTTTTGGAACCCGGCCTTGTCTGATACAAGGTATTACAGCACCGTGCTCGGTTTAGCTGCTGCCATGCTGGACTTTCAGGCCGTGCTCTGATGTCCAAGGTGTCGTGGTGTCGCCGCTACCAGTTCCCCCGATGGCCGGGAAGTCACCAGCTTCATGTCGGCAGTCGACTGCGCCCGGAATCGCACAGGTGATCTATGGGTCGTACGCCCGGCAGCTCAAGGCGCAGTCCATTAGAGACCGTTTCAGCGTCAAAACTTTTGAACTGGAAGGTGGAGAGCTCGTTGAGCCTGGTATCGGAGATCTTCATGGAAGGGTGCTTGCCTGAAGCCGAAATAGCAAGGTTCCAAGCCATTACTGCCGTGCGGTCCTGGTGCCGCCAGGTGCGCAGAAGCACTGGGACGTGGTGCAGTCCAGTACACATGGACGGCGTGTAGAAGGCGGTCTTTGATTTCCAACGCTTCGCTTCGCTTGCTCTTAAGCAGCATTTTCCTCGATCCACAGGTCTGATGCGGTTTTGCTGCCACTGCCTGAATTTGATGCACTGCATAGCTCGGATAGAAGCCGAGCAGATGCCTGTTCCTGACCCAGGCAAGGCAGCATACTGGGCTGTAGCACGCCGGGGCCTTGGATTTATGATTGATTCACCTCTGCGCATCCTTGGTTCGCCGTCCCCTGCCGAAGCAAGAATATTGGGAACCTTGCAATCGCGAGTTTGCACAGCTCACGCCCAGAAGCGTCTTAGACTGCTCAAATATCCCGCGGTTACATGGTGGGAAGCCTTTTTGTTATGACCTGTACAACTCCCACTCCATTCTGGCAAGTCATGTCGTGTCCTCCTGCACTGCGACAGAATGGATGATACGGTTGCGTCGCCTCACAATTTCCGGCATTACGCTTTTTTCTTGTGCCAGTGGTTTGTCCTGCATGCCTCACAGACCCTCGCATGATCCGTCTCGGCGCTTGTTTCCGTACTCACTTTGAGCCGTTTTGTGTTATGTCCACATCGATGCCGAATCTTCGACTGCGTATCATGCGTTTTCTAGGCCAAAGCTGTCTAGAGCTCATCATCGCGAGGGTTGGCATTGACGTTGGACAGCTGAGCGACTTTGACTATGGGTCTCTGAAGCTGCGGCTGCATGGACTTTGCGCGTACTGATGCCTGAGCTCAGCATGAACGTCTTCGTGTTGCTCTTCATCCTGCAAGCATTCTAACTATTTGCTTCGTGGTGGCACAAGCGTGTGCGCAATCGGGAACTGCATGAACTCGTGTAGTAGTGCAGCAAAGGCGGTAAGCCTGACGGCAAAAGTTTCGCACAGTCGCATCCATGTGCTCCTTAAGTACGGGCTGGCCAGAACACCCTTCCTCGGAGGATCATAGGTCGTGTGGGAGTGCATACTTGTCGGTGGAACATGCTGACTATTCAAAACGCTGCAGCTGTCGCTTGTCTCGTCAGGGTAGGCCCTTGATGCAGCAGCTGCTAAAGGTGGGGCAGCGGCATCAACCTCGACGACATATCGGGATTCTTCTCCAGGTCGTTGTATGCACAGGCCTTAGGATAGCATCTGCGCAGAAAAGAAGCATTGCGTCAGTTCATGGCTTGCCAAGGTTAAACCGTTTGCCTTGCAGCCGCTGGAGACCTATATCTTTACCATCTCCGGCCAGGCATGTTCCGATTGTGCGTCGGCATGAGTACCCACAACGAAGCACTATACTTTCCGGCCGGGAAAGGTCAACGTCAGCAACGCCACAGCGGACCTGACACTTCAAAATGTAGTCAGTGCAGAAGTAGAAGTGGTGCGCTGCAGATAGCAAAAACACTGCACGGGATTCGTGGTGCTGCTGCCACGTGCTGCCATGAAAGGTACTTGGCGACCTCACGATTAATTACTACGGAGGCACGGGCTTTTCATCTCGCAGGCCGGTCATGCCTTAGACGTGAGCGTCTTATGTCACGTCCAATGCACGCAGCCGAGCACTCTGACCAGGGATCGTGCGATCGTTGTGGACTTCACTGAATCCCTGGATTACTCCGACCCTGCAGCTGGCTCATTGCGGTTTCACATCCGCAGGAAGATTGTGGTAGCTTCCAGTGCCTTCAGGCAAGCAGCTTGGCAACTACTGCCCGCCCCCCAGCACTGAGTAATTCCTACCGCCAGCTTTACAGTGAATGGCAGCCACGGCAAGTTCACGATGCGACTGACCGGGTCTGATGAATGCCGAGACCTACACCTACAGCTGCCAGAAGGAAGGTTCCGATCCTAGTGCATCGAAGTGGTGGCTGAACGTGTCAGGCGAGAATCTTGAGTGTAGGCAGGAACCGCGAATTGTGCAGCTGCGAGGGCTCAAGGTGAGGTCCTCACTCAGCCAGGCCCGTGCCCGCCACAGGCAACGTCAAAGCCTTTGCAACCGTCATCAACAGCTGTCATTTTCGGATCGCTCTGGCACCCGCAGGGTAAACGGGCGGCTTGTTCATGGAGGCTGGCAAAGAGCCATCGCAGAAGAAGCGCAAGACAGAGGCTTTCTTGGACAAAGATCCGTGTGCCTCTCTCTCTCTCTCTCTCTGTGTCTGTGTCTCAGTCGGCCACTCAAACCGCAGGTGATTGATGTGGATGCAGTCCTTGACCAACTTCTATATGTTCGCAAAAGGATGGGAGAACAGTCGTTTTGTCATCAGTTGATGACAATCCTACCGAGTTTCCACGCAGCCCCATCTTGTCAATGTATGTGTGTGTACACGCCTGAACGTGGTGTCCGCTGTGAGCTTCTTAATGCAGTAGATCGCCAGTGATTTCATCCAGGCAGGGGGCTCAGGCCCGTCTTGGCTACCTGTGCCAACGAAGCTATTCCAAGATGGGGGAAGGGTGGTCATGGGTGGTCTCATCAACCACCTGCACCTGCGAGCGCGGCCAGCCCAAAGTACTCTTAAATGTGTTGCTTCTATCATGGGCCGCGTCGTGAAACTGAGCCTGCACGGTTACTGCAATCTGTGTTCTCTCGTCTGGTCCTGTCTGTCTTCCGCAGCAGTAGTTCGTGCCGAGCCAAAGGTAAGAGTGTGTGTGTGGTCCTGCAGGCAACCAGGCGCGCAAGTAGCCATGCGCACCGAAAATCACCGAAATGCATGCGTGCCTGCGTTGTTGCAAGCATGGAATGAAGCGCGAATATGTGGAGGCATCCGTGTAGGCCTGTCTCATGCGGGCAGCAATGTGCCCTTTTTGCATTTCACCTGTTGGAGTCTGGGTAGACAGGTCCGGGATCAAATTACGGTACATTGTTAAAGTTGGATATGGCATTGTTGAGTGCCATTCTGGCGAATCACCGACATCATGCCATGCGAAAGGAAAATATGCACCACTGAAACATCTCAGATCGCCGTCCCAGTGGTTCGGAGGTCTGCCAGGCTTTCTCTTCGGCTGTTTTGCGAAGTTGTCTGGCGAGTTGGATCCCAGCTCTTGGCAAACACTAGCCAAGCATTAAGTTTGACAATATGTGCTCCGAAACTGTGTTGTGTGCTACAGTATGCTTTCTGACCTTGCCGGCACCGGCGACCGGCGGAGTGCAGATTGAACTCTGGACTTCATACGCTCACCCTCAACGGGATGCCGACGATGGATCTCAACATTTTTCGTTGCAACCGTCAATTTCTTCCAGCTGTCTTTTGGCAAGGGGGAGGCTGCAAAGACCAAGCATGACCGTCGAGGTGACGACCGCATTGATTGTAGACGGCCTGTCATTGAAATGTGTCGATTTGTCAGAACATACCTGAACTTGTTAAACTTGCCGCAAGCATGTTGATACGGTGGGCAACTTCAACAGCGGAGCATCTGCGAAGATCACCGGGGATTTTTCGTCCGAGGTACCTGTGTGCTTCAATCAATATCAGCTGGCGGCTGTAAATATTCGGGTTTTCTCAGCGTTGAGCTCCAATCCAAGGTTTGCCAAATTTGTTTTGAGTCTTTCCAACATGAGCATCAGCTCCTGCTATGTTTTGGCATGCAACGATATCGAATGTTTGTCAAATCAGCCGGTGCTCCAATGTCAGTACCCCCATCATGCAAACATGCTTTCCATTCGCGAATGGCATGTTCAAGACCGGCGTTGAACAACAGCGGACTGTTGGTTTCCCCTGTTTTACACCACGTGCGATACCAAATTTGCGGCTGTCGGGCACCGAACCCATTTGTGAAGAGTACAACATCTACAACAATGTGAGATGTACCTCGGAAACTCCCTCATCCCGCAGTGCTCGAAACAGGGCGAGATGATGTGTCCGATCAAAAGCCTTTCGCAAATCGATACTCGCAGTTGTGCTCCGAAGATCTGGCACAAGTGTTGTACTAGACTAGAAACTAGAAACGACAGTATGCCACGGCAAGCCGATCATTCTCTAAGTCTGCAATCGCAGCTACTTCTGTATTGCTTATGTTTTCCTTGTCGCGTGTGTCTGCATGTGTACACCTCTCGCTGCTGCTGTGAAACCCCGACATCCTGCTGGGATCGCACCGGCGCTTGAAATCCCAGACCCTTCCGCCTCCAGTCCTGAGGATGACTGCTGGCGGGACGTGACCGAGAATGTAGTCGTAAACCATACTGAACCAGGCTTCGAGCACTCGCCGTGTCTGCTCTGCTGCAGGACCCCCATTCAACAAATGGTCCAAATGACGGAGGCACGATCACGGACAGTGTTTCCATTAGGTTTCCGATTGTCTTGCAGCTTGGCCTTGTGGGAAGGAGACGGTGGTGGGCTTATGCGAGCAGTCTATGGCGATATTCAACAATCAGCCGATGCTCCTGGAACTGGACGCATCCGACCCGGTTGTTGTCGTCCGAGCTTGCCAATTTCTTGCAGCAAACTCTGGAACTTGCCCCCACTAAGTCGCCACTACACCTGTGCGGAGATGTGCACGGACAGTATCCAGCCTCGACTTAGACAGATGTTGATTCTTGCCACGAGCATGCTCACTGGCGACGTGGCGAGGTATCACGATCTCTTGCGAATCTTCGATGCAGTCGGCTACCCACCCCAGGCGCCAATTCAAAGACGGTCACGTGCATCTGCCGTCGCCTCGAAAGTCAGGCGAATTATCTTTTTCTCGGTGACTATGTAGACCGGGGCAAGCGCAGCTTGGAAACGATTTGCCTCCTTTTTGCTTACAAGGCCACGACTGACGGTCACCGGTCTTGTGACTCAAGTACATGAGCACTGCCACTTGGATAGCCAGTCACTGCTCTGCCCTTCCTGCCAGATAAAGTTCCCTGAGAACTTTTTCCTGCTTCGTGGAAACCACGAGTCACCATCCATCTGCAGGATGTGACCAGCTGATTCGTGATGTGCCATGACACCTCGGCACATGTGTGTCATGCACGGTCTTGCATGTCGAGTGCATTGATGCAGGATCTATGGCTTTTATGACGAAATAAAAAGCCGATTCCACGTCAGAATTTGGAAAAAGTTTTGCAACTTGGCTTGGAATGCCGCATGCACCACGAAGGAACTGCTGTTGTTTCCCTGGAGCGGTGCAGTCCGATGTACACTCGAGGCGACGTGTTCAATTACATGCCGGCTTGTGCCATCATCGCCGACAAGGCCGACTGTCCATTAGCTCGATACCCAATGTTGTTTGCACGTGTTTGTATGTTGCCAGAAATTCCGTGTGTTTTTGATAGAACACCATGCATCTGCAGCAGCCCGAGGGGAACTGCACTCGTTGAAGGGATCCTAGTGTCCCAGTGCTTAGTCCACAGACAGGTGATCTGCATGCATGGTGGCTTATCCCAAGACATGATGGACTCCAGCGTCGACTTGAGACGGAAGATCAACGATCTTGTCAGGCAAGGGCGGCACACAGTGTCATAGCCGTGCGTAACGCATCGTGCTTGACATGCTGAGGCTAGCTGGCACTGTCAGTGGTATTGATTGCAGAGTGCACATTTGAGCCACAGGCCCGCAGATATCCCGGACTCCGGTTTTCTCTGCGATTTGTTGTGGTCGGATCCCTCGGAGGCAAATGTTGTCATAAACGAGTCGCAAGCAAGCACACGTGCCCAACAATTCTTTAAGATGAATGCCTGCAACACTTGCAGGCCACTGTCGGCTTTGGACAGAATGACCGTGGCGTGTCAGTTTCATTTGGAGCGTCAGTTGTCACCCAGTTCCTCAGGGCGCATGACCTTGACCTGCAGCTCAGTTGCACAACTCGCAAAACCGACAGAGCATCTCACAGCTGGACGGCGATGAGACAAGAAAGAGAGTCTAAGGATCGTCAGAGCACATCAGGCAGGGAACCGTGGGTGTTCGGTCAGCAGAAACGTTTTCTCACGCACCCGAAGAAGCGGCAGAAGTGTCTTGCGACAGGGGATGCCGGCATGATTTTGACAGGTGGTTGAGGATGGGTACGAGTTCTTTGCTGAAAGAGGATTGGACACTTGACAGCGACAGTTCTCACCAGCAAAGACATTATTGTTACCCATAGCTGTAGTTGCCGGCGTTGCAATCGCAACAGTACATGCACAAAGCATGAATACCGTCACATCTGTCACCACCATTCGGATTCTGCCTACTTAACCGAGGTTACAATCTTTTCGGCACCGAACTACTGCGGAGAGTTCGACAACGCCGCCGCGGTGCTATTCAGCGTTCATTTCGGGGGAGAGAGGGTCAGTGTTGCATCCATACACGACTGATGGACATGTCTGCTTAAAAGGTGCTCTCTATTGACGAGGATCTCACCTGTGCGTTCTCGGCCACGCGCTTTGCGGGATCGTTATGGGCTTTCGGCTGTCTTCGAGTCATCTGTTTGCTGAGGTCCTCAAACCGTCAGTAGCTTCGCCGAACATGTGATGAGGAGCAGCTGAAACGGCGGTTTGACTGCTCTTCCAGAAACACCTGTGCTTGCAAAAAGTCTTTGTTTGCTTCCAGCATGGTGTCACTTCGCTTTCCTAGCAGCTAGGGCAGCTAGGGCCGTGGAAGCTCCTGGTGTGCAAGGACACCTGGAAACACGCCGCCATTAAGGATGCGCGTGAAGATTGAATCGCCAGATGCCGATCTGCAGGATCGCGAGTACGGCTTGAGTTGATCCAGTCACCATGATGTGGTATGCCGAGTTTGAAAGTTCTGGCTGATTCGTGAGGGACATCCTTCTGCTTCTTTGTGTCAAGAGCAGCTGTAGTGGTGACTGCAGATCATCAGTGTTAGCGTGACCTTTGCACGGCTGTAGTTGGTACAGTAGAGTGCGCAGCCGTTGCGTGGCTTAGTGCCTTAGTTGCCATGCCACAGCTGGAGCGTGACTGCGGTCGACCAGTGGCGCTGCCTTAACACTCTGCACGTCTTGTAGGGCCAAGTGCTGGTTCATGCCACATGCGTTGCGGAAGTGGTTGTTGCAATGAGCAGCATCAGGTAGCAAATTGAGATTGTGCCGTGGTGACGACCTGCTGTTGCGCTTGGTTTCCCATCTCACTGTAGCAGATGAGCAGGAGCAGTGAGCCAGACGTGGGGTCGAAAAAGTCATGACAGAGTTGCGATATGCATGGGATTGCATTAGCACCCGTTCCATCATGTTCCATCAGCAATGCAACGGTTATATAGTTCGAGCATGTTCGAGCGAGGCACGCAAAATTCCTGCTTTGCGACACAGGCCCCTTCATGCGTCTTCTGATCAGTTGGTTGATGCCCTGTATCCCTGTGGTGGTAACTCCTCAACAGGGCCCCTCAATCCAGCTGGTGCAGCCCTCAGCAATTTCTGGGTCTGGCCCGGAAGAGAGGAAGAGAGAAAGAACCAGATAGAGAATTTCAGCCAGGTAGGCCACGAAGAGAGCACGAGCGAGGGTTGCGTGACCTTCCCTTGCGCAGACTGCCGACGCTTGCATGGACGTGCAAGATCCCCTTTCGGATCCGCCGGGGCAGTCGATGAAGTTCACATACCGCGACAAGGTCTCCTTGCTGCTGTGTAAACACTGACTATGAGAGGTACTGTCGTGTGATTAGGTGACTTCTGACATTTGTTATCAGGACTACAACCAAGCTGACGGCATTAGCCTTCCTCCCTACTCGAATGCAGCCAGCCTTGAATTGCGCATGCTCATGCCGACTGTGTGTGAATTTCGGGGGCCACTCGGCTGCATCCGTTTCTGCTCCTAGGTCGTGCAGCATTGCAAGGGCTCAGCGACGACCTTCGTAGACCCGACCAGCTTGCCAAGCCACACCACAGGTAGATACTCCCCTCATGTGTCCCATGGCAGATTTTTCAGCCGAACCTCTTCGAAACCGGCACGTACGTCTTCGTTTCGACCTTACTTGCAACGAAGCACTAGTCACTGGCAGGGCTTTTGGTTCAGGCAGCTTGACAAGGCCATCCCGATGCTGCTCTCAGGTTGTGAACGCGTCGAAGGTCGTTATGGGCGCTGAAAGGGTGAGCTCGAGCAGCATGGAGCCAAGATGGGAAAGCAAAGAGATCTGGCTGCATGCCTCGATTCCCAAGGTCTTTACATATTAGTGCAAGCGGACACAGAGATCGACCCAGAAAGGCCGAAAGTCTGCACATTCCTGCCTCGCGCCCCTGGAAGTCAAAGATAGTTTGTGTCATGCTTCGCGTTGTATCAAAACCAGGACTCCCCTGGTTGCTGTGTTCCTGGAAAGCCTCGGTCTTGGATGCATGTGCTTGTGGATTCTCTTCTGCTGTGATCAAAAATATCAGGCCCCCAGCCGATATTTGCTGGCTCTACACTGCGACTGCGCGGTGAGGCCACCTACCGTGTGGCTGCATTCGCATGCTCCACTGTCCACGATATGTGGCCTCAGATCACGAATCCTCAGAATGACACGTCCTATACCTTCCAGTGGACGGCGACGCTCCGAGTCAAGAGTCCTTGTCAGCCAAAGATCGGATGCTGTCTAGGCTTAGGAACTGCAGATGCAACATCAGGCATATCGATATGGACTCAACCCGGCCTACGATGCGGAAGCCGTTGCGTTTGACCCAACGTATGCCATTCCGCAATACACTTGGGTGGAGTTCTTAGACATTCATCAGGACAAGTTCGGAGGGTAGGGTGGGAAACAGAAAGTGCCAAGGTGCCGCTGTCACCGGTGGATTTCAACATGAGTGATTCCGACCAGGCAGCGCACTGGATGCCTCATTTGTTTCTGAAACGGCTGGTTTTAGAGCTGCACGAAAAAGTCTGGTTCTAAGATCACCAACGCATATCCGGACAAGTCGGTGAGATGCAAGCTCACGGCAACTTGCATTGGCAGCCTCGGTATCGCGTGGCGTGTCCGCTATTCGAGAGCATAGATTCGCCTGGCTGCCACAGTCAGATTCCTTGGCGACCAGGACCTGCACCTGCAAATTTCCTCAAGTCCAGCCTGACAAAAATACATAAAAAAACAAACTAGCTACGATATACATGGACATGAACCTAAGGATAAATATAGATAAAAGAAAGAGATAAAAC